GACACAGCCTGGTCCCTAGGCTGGCTGGGGACCAGGTCCCTGGGAAAGGAGTCCTCCTCCCCTGGCCATCCATCCGGCTGCTGTGCGAGGCTGACGGCTGCTTCTCCTCTGCAGGAACCAGGCAGTACGCATCCAGGAGGGGTCATACCGCCATCCCAGCTGCTACACCTGTGCAGACTGCGGGCTCAACCTGAAGATGCGTGGCCACTTCTGGGTGGGAGATGAGCTGTATTGCGAGAAGCATGCCCGCCAACGCTACTCCGCGCCTGCCGCCCTCAGCTCTCGGGCCTGAGCCGGTGGTGCTCGGCCTGTCTCACTCCAGCACTCGGAGAAGGGCCATACGGAGAACAAGTTGTCAGGAAGGGCGATGGTGGGTGGTGGCTCTTATGTGAACCAAGTTTGGAGGCCCAAGGGTCTCGCTGGGTGAGGCCACAGCCTGGGATGCGGCTACTGAGAGCAGCCCGGCCCTCCCTGGCCTTTTCTCCTGCAGGACAGGCCTCAGTGGCCACTGCCTTTGCAGCTTGTGTGTACAGGGTGGGGCAGGCATGGAAGTATCTAGAAGGAAAGGGGTGGGTCCTAGGCTAATGATAGTCACTGTGCAAAATTTTTGACATTTATGTTCTATAAATATGTATACATAGATAAAATCAAGTGCTCCCCTTCTTTCTGGGATCTTGGGAAGGCGCGGACCCTTGCTGCTGAGTGGGGAGTCTGTATTGCGTCCTTCCTGTCTTCCTCCTATCTCCCCTCCCTCAGTCCTTACCTGCCTCGTGTCTCCTACCTAGTGTGCCCCATATCAGAGGCTTGCTTCTGTAGGGTGTGTGTGTGTGTGTGTGTGTGTGTGTATGCACATCTGTGCTTGTGCTTCCTTCACTATTACGTCTATAAAGATGTCATTTTCCTGGGAAGAATTTCTCACTGGGAACTGGAGCAGAGGACCAAAAGGCTTTGGGGTGAAGAGGTTTTTGTCATCAGCAAAAGGCTGGTCTGTCCTCAGCTCACTCTCCTTGATTTGAATGCCAGCCACTCAAATACTGATGTACTTAGATGAGCTAACTGGCCAGAAGCGGAGACCCGGTCGTGGAGGGAACAGAGGGGCACGAGATCACCTGCCTACACTTGCTTGTCTCTGTTCCCTGGACACTCCCTGGCTTCTTTGATTGGAAAAGGGAGATAATAGGCACAGCCAGTGCTGGGCTTATCTGCTCTGGGAGGGGTGCATTTGAGTGGAAGGGGGCCGTAGGGTCTCCTGCTGGGCCTTGATTTATGGCCTGGTTCACCAACTTGCTCTCATCCCGATCCCAAAAGACATTTCAGAAAGTTCCCCAGGATGTTGCTGGATGTTCCAGTCCTGCCTCCAGCCACCCTTGGGAGACAGGGCAACTCCAGCCTTATTTTCAGAGATGAAAGCTGGCTTCAGAGGCCCACAGTCTGATGGCAGCCTTGTGCTATCTGACTCTGGGGGAAGGAATGTTGGCAGTCTGTGTTGCCTCTTCAGACACCTGTGGATATAATTTGCACCTTGATACAGTTGTCTCACCTTTTGCCTGGCTGGCTGCCTGAGGGTGGGCCTTTATTTTTTATAGGTAAGAAGAACTAGCCTAACTCGAGTCTGTGGGGCATCTGATAGGAAATGGGAAGGCCTCTTTGACGCCACCTAGTGCCCGGTGTATCTCATGGCAGGGGAGGGTGCTCAGAAGAGGAATTCTTTCAGTTCACTGGCACATACCATACAGTACTTGGGCTTTGGTTACAGTGAGAATGCAGAAAAATAAAGCACTTTCCCTGCTTTCCTGGAGACAAAGGCAGCCATCAAGCTGACATGAGTAATATAATGTAACACAGCAGTAAATGCTAAGGGCTATCTTGAAGCACCCAAGGATATTCAGTGAGTTCAAAGCAGTGGCTGTCTATGGGAAAGTTTGGTCAGAAAAGAAGTATTGAGAGGCCAGGAGACTGGAGCTGCATAACTTAGCTTAGAGTAGTGGCTACCAGGGACCTGAACTAAGGGAGGAGCCTTAAATACTGGTGTATTCCCCTTAAAGTTCTGGGACACTTTATAGTGTTATACCAAGAAATGACAGGTTAGGAAGAGTAGATGTACCTATTGATATGGTTAGATCTCCACCTGTAACAAACTGTTTGCCAGTGGTGTCACAGCAGTATCTGGGAAGAGGAAAAGTGGGGACTGAGGACACCTGGGAAATGAATATGCTACTGGGTTTGTGAATGTCTGTTGCTGGGAAGCTGAATGGATCCCAGCCAACACCCATCACAGCCCATGTTCATTACTTGTGACGTCTGGCTGTCCACCTGTGTGTCCTAAGGTGTTGATCCTAAATTCTCTGTGTCCCCACAGCCAACCCAGGCTTGGTAGTGTATTCTTCTGGAAGATGGAGTTATTAGCCAAATCAGTTTGTCAGTAGACAGGGTGGCGGTGAGGCTCTGACCCTTTACCCCGACCTTATCATCGCCCCAAGCCAGGCAGCCATGAATACTGACCCTCTGTGACCCACACTGCCCATCTTGGTACGTTTTGCATTTGGGAAAATAAGTTCAGAAATGACAGATTGGACTTAGTGGCTGAGAGCATCTAATAGCACCCTCTGTGGACAGAGCTGGAAAAGTGACATTTTCTGAGTTACACAGCTAGATAATAATAAAGGCTAACCTTCCAGGGCACTTTGGATGTGCTGAGGATGTCGAAAATGTTTTCACTGCATTCTCACAGCTGGGAGATAGGCATTGGGTCATCCTTGGTATATAATCAGAGAAACAGGCCAGGGAGGCTAAGTTATTAGTCCACAATCGCCTGGTTAGAAGGGGAAGGGGCTTAGAATGGAACCAAAGCCTGCCTATGGGTCCTTGACTTTGTCCTTCCCCAGGGCCTAGTTCTGCACTGAGTTCACAGGAAATGGGTTCTTGAAGCTGGGGCCTCCCCAGGGTTAAGGCAGTGGATAAGCAGCCTGACAGATGACTGCTTGGGCCACCTTCTGTCCCAGGAATTCAAGAGATGGGGACAGCCAGGACTGGTTCTGCTGTCACTCCTTCCAGCATGGGGCAGAGGGACTTGATTCCCTTTGTAGAAGAGGCAGGGAAAAGAACTGGCAGAGGTAGTAGGTCAATGCAGGGCCACAGGGCCTTCTGAGCAGGAAGGAGGGGCAGGGCTCTGGTCTTCGGTCTGCCACAGTCAGTACATCAGAAGGTAAAGGGAAGTAAGCTTTGAGTCAGGTCCCTGTGAGGACTGCAGCTGCCCAGAGCTGGCTTGGTTGGGCACGGGGGCGGGGCCCTAGCCTGGAGGGGAGTATGGTGGCAGTGTGGGGGTTCTTCCAGCCACACACAAAGCCTTGTGCTGAGGCACCGCATTCCTGCTGCCTGGGCTTCCTGTTTTCAGATGCATTCCAGCCCCAGAGTCACCACGGAGACTGTTTGGAATCCAGCCCCACATTCTCAAAATTCAGGGTGGATCTGAGCAAAGGCTTCCTCTCTTACCTCTCTCACCTAGGAGCGAGGAAGTCACCTGGCAGGCTTGGGCCAGTCTGGCTTGGCTGGGGTGTTTGCAGTCTCACGTCCTCTTGGACTTGGAGAAGACAGTTCTGCCAGGCCCAGCCCCTTGTTTCTCTTTCTGTATTTAGAGGAGAGGGCCGGTCCGATGGATGTCTAGAAGGATAGGGCAGGAACGAGCCGGGCAGCTGGGGACGCACAGCTAGAAGAGAAGGGCTTGAGAGATGACAGGCAGATCAAGCACTTGGCTCTCATTTACCTGTGAGGGGCTTGGCTGCGGGCCTCAGTTTCCTAATTTTATAAAAAACCGGAAATGGTCCAGGTAGCTTATTTGCATGTATGAAAACAGAAGGACAGAACCTACTGAAATAGTTTTAAGACTGGGGAGTGGGAAAAGGCAGAGTGACTGAGTGAGATACACTGCACAGGCCTGTAGAAAAGGTGCAATGACAGCTCCCCCCCCCCCCCCTACTGTATACTAAGAGACTTCACGCCTGAAATCCTAGCTACTGGGAAGCCTGAAATCTAAGGACTGTGGTTTGAAGCCAGCCAGGGCCACAAGACTCTTATCTCCAATTAACAGCAAAAAGCCCCAAAGTGGAGCTATGCCTAAAATGGAGAGAGCCACAGCCTGGGGGGGGGGGTGGTCTGAGGGGGGGAGGGAGGGAAAAGCTAAGTGGCAGTGCCTAGATCTTGAGTTCGAGCCCCAGCACCCGTGCACACACCAAGCAGATCTACTACTCTTCCCTACCCCGATCTGAAAAGTGAGGGTGTCCGAGGAGCCCCTTCCTGGGCGGGGCTCAGGCTCGGGCTTCCTTCAGGGTCCGAGGTGAAGTCTGTGCGGTCTCCCAGGGATGCGGGTGCCAGCGGCCCGCGCCCTCCGAGGGCTGCTTCCTTGGAGGCCACCGCTCCCCAGGGGCGGCCAGGCGGTCTCCCGCCCTGCGGCCTCCGGAGCTGCTGTTCGGATGGCTCGGCATCCCGGCTGCCTCGACCCCCGCCGCTGCCCGGCTTCCCCTGGGCCCGCGGGGGTTCGGGTGCGGCCCGGGACGGCGCACCCGGCGTTGGCTGTGGAGGTCCGGACGCACGGGGACGTGTCCCCCCTTTGATGTCGCCAGACTGCGGACACACGGAGGGACCTGGCCCCTAAGTCACACAGCTGCGGTCGGCGTCCTGGCTCTTGACAGCACGTGGGGCTGTTTCCTTCCGGGCTCAGGATCGGCCCCCACCCCACCCCAGCCTCGGCGGGCTCCGAGCCGGCCACCGGAAGACCCTCCGCGCGCCGCCGCCGCCGCCGCGCCCCCCAGCTCTGCAGCCCGCAATCTTCACCCCGGCCCGCGTTGGAGGGTCCCAGCCGAGCCCGGGGTCCCCCCGGCCCGCCCGCCGCCGGCCCGGACACCTGCGCGCCCCGCCCCGCCCTGCCCCGCCCTCCACCGCGGGGGAGGGTCCGGGCTGCGCCCCGCCGGGCGGGCGGGGCCCGGAGGGCGGACCCCGGGCTCGCTCCGGCCTCCTGCGGGCGGGCAGCGCGCCATGCTGGGCCGGCGGCGCGTCTTCGCGGTGGAGCCGCTCGGCGGCCGGGGTGAGTCGTCTGCTGCCCGGGAGCCTCGACTCTGGGGGCTGGGGACCCTCGGGGACGGCGGTCGGCTCTCCGCCCCTCCGGCCCAGCCCGTGCCCCGCTTTCTGATCACCCGCGGTTGGAGCCGGGGACCCCTGCAGTCCCGAGAAGCCTCTGGGTGGCGGCGAACCCCGGTCCCGGAGGGCGGGCCGGGGACGGGCTTCCTGGCTCACTTCCTGGTTCCAGCTCCCCGGGAGCTGGCATTTAGTTCCCGCCCAGCCAGCCCCAGTTTCGGCCCCAACCCGATGGGTACCCACGGCCCCGAGGGCCTGGCGCGGCTGTCGAGATGGATGCAGAAACGGACACTTTTTCTTATTACGTTTTCCGTTTACACTTCTCAGAATGTTGAGTATTTCTTGCTTTACAAGGCCAAAACCTCACACGGCTACAGCGGCAGGAGAGACCTCATCTTGCATCCTGATGCCCAAGGGGCTCCGGAGAGCAGTGTGTGGACCCCGAGGCCTCGCGCTCTGTCCTCCCCGGCTTTGGGAGACCCTCAATAGCGGATGGGATGGGTGGGGGAGACTGAGGCTCTCTGCCTCGGGATCGGAGGTCTGTGCAGGCCCTGCAGGGCGCAGGTGGGCGGGACCTCCTAGGGCTTTACCTACTCCACCGTCCAAAGTGGGGGTTCCTTCTTGCTAACCATGACTGTTAGAAGGGAACACCTTCCAGACATCTCCCAAGCAGGGAGAGCTGGAGCCCCTGTCTTGTCCAGGCCTTGGTTAGCTCCTGTCCTTCCCTTCCTGTCCTGGGCTGCTCCAGCTGCCAGGAATGCTGGGGTGTGGAGGGCAGCCTGCCCAGCCTGATCCTCACTCTCCTTGCAGATGGGGCCAGCGAGGACCTGGCACATGGCTGTGTAGTGCCCGGAGCTACCAGCATCTACAGGCGGATTCCGGATGCCACTTGTGGTTGCTCATTGGATTCCTGGAGGGGAGAGGGCAGGCTCAGAGGTCACAGGAGGCCTGTGGCACTTCTCAAATTGGCTTCCCGAGACTCAGGGGTGGAGATGGTAGTTGGGGACAGTCCCTTGGCCACCTTTCCAGGACTTTCTCTGGACTCTCTGAATCTTGAGCCCGTGGAGAACTCTGAGCCGGCTGCCCAGCCAGACCGGCTGCGGGCCAGCCGAAAGCTGGAGCAGGTGCTGGAGCGAGCCCGCGGGTTCCCCCGGTTGCCAGGACAGCGCTGTTCCCCGAGGCCACCTCGCCAGCCTGAGCATGGAGCACCTGCTTTTGCAGCCCGACCAGAGCCCACTGAGGCAGAAACCAAGCCAGAGGCAGGTCTGGAAGAAGTGGAGGTGGTGAGTGGCAGCCCTGGCTAGGTGCAGAGGGGGAGGAGGCAGCCCTGTGATGGGTTCTTGGGGACTCCCTACCTCCTCGCCTTTTCCCTGGAGCTCTCTCGGGGCGGGGCATTCCTTGCCCCTAATTAATAGTTGTGTCACAGATGCTTGCTTCACCTAACTCATAGATGTGTGTAGCCACCCCCACATAGGAGGTGGGCAGGTATGGGTCCCATGCCCAGCTGGGCACTGGGGAAGCCATCTGGATGTGAACTCCCTAGGCTCCTGCTTCACTGTCCTTTTCTGGCTCAGCATAGTCCGTCTGTCCAGGTGGGAGATTGGTTGAGGCTAGATGTCTCCCCTGCCTTCCTGTGTCCCACAGGAGGGTGGCATGGGACCCGAAGCCAGGGCCTGCCTCCCGGGGCGGGGTCTTCGCTATCTGGAACACCTATGCCTCGTACTGGAGCAGATGGCAAGACTTCAGCAGCTCTACTTGCAACTGCAGATCCAGAGGCCCCCTGGGGTGAGTGGGTGGCCAGGCAGCGTGGCCACACTGGTGGAACGGGAAGGGGCAGCACCCCTGGGATTGTGGTTGCCTTCAGAATAGCTACAGTCTTCTGAGGTTCCATCTTTTCTGTCCCAGGATCCTGAGGATGAGGAGGCAGCGGCTCTGGCTCACTCATCTTCCCTTTTACCTGCCCCAGACCATGGGGTACAGGGGCTAGAGGAACTGCTAAGCCAGACAAAGACAGGTGAGAGGTCATTGTGGTTCCCCCGTCCCCCCTCCCCAGCTGTAGTTCGGTGGGGATGGCTTCCTAACCCTGGTCCTGGGTATGGGACTCTCTTTCTGAAGGAACAGAGGCAATTTCAGCCCCAAAGCTGGAGATGCTCAGCACCAGCCTTCCCCGGCTGACAGAAGCCCCAGTGGAATCAGTTCACACCTTCCCACCCTCCCATAAACACAAGGTAATGGTCAACATATGTTGGAGGGGATGGGGAATGGGGGATGGTTGGGATGCATGGGACTCCTGAAGGTAAGAAATTTTAGGAAAATGACTGGAATTTCTGTTGGGAGTAAATGATTTGTCTTGGTTATTGTGACAGCTATCCCTGGGAGCTTCATTGGGAGATCTATCTTTATCTGTATCTTTATCTGTATCATATCCATCTGGTGGCATTCTGTGGTGACCCATTGTCCTCTGGTCATCAGGATCTCTCCCACTGGGACAAGGTCAAGGTCCTGCTCAATCGGATCCGCTGGAGAAGCTCTAGACACCCTGAGCCTGCAGTCCTTCCTGATGGATATGGTCCCAGGTGAGTCCTGTGCTTGGTCCCTGTCAGAGAAGAGGGAGGGGGCTAAAAAAAACCAGGATGTTGAGATTCTCCTGCTAGTTGATGGTGTGTGTGTGTGTGTGTGTGTGTGTGCGCGTGTGCGTGCACGTGAGCGTGCACACGCACGTTCTACTACCAGGGATTAAACTCAGGGCTTTGTACTTTTGCTCAGCTTTCTTGCTTATGGCTAGCACTTAACTGTAGAACCACACTTCCACTCCCAGAAATGGAGTCTCATGGGCTTTTCTGCCCAGACTGGCTTCCAACCTTAATCCTTCAGGTCTCAGTCTCCTGATTAGCTAGGATTACCAACAGGGACTACTGGTGCCTGGCCAGTTGATGTCTTTGTCTCTGTGAAATCTGAGAGACTTAAAACACTGTTTGATGGGTGCTGGAGGGAACAGAAAGTTAAAATGGCCCATTTACAGGTGAGGAGATTGGGGACTAGGCAGGGTTGGGAGGCAGTATCTTTCCCAAAGCTATTGTGTAAGTTAGTGATAGAACCAGGACCATATGAAGGGAAAGAGCTCCGTTGAAGCACAGTAATCCTTTCCCCCTAAATTATTGAAATTTCGGGGGCTGGGAAAGTGGCTCAGTGATAGGGTGCTTGCCTTGCATGCATGAGGACCTGGGTTTGATTCCTCAGCACCACATAAACAGAAAAAGCTGGAAGTGGTGCTATTGCTCAAGTGGTAGAGTGCTAGCCTTGAACTGAATCGCTGAAGAACAGTGCCCAGGCCCAGAGTTCAGACCTCAAGACCCACAAAAAACCCCAAAAAACTGAAATTGAAATTTAGGCCATTTTCTGGGTTTATGGAGAGAGCAAAGTAAAGGCACACATAAAATATTTCACTGCGGGGCTGGGAAGGTGGCTCAGTGGTAGGGTGCTTACCTTGTATGCATGAGGCCCTGGGTTCAATTTCTCAGCACCACATAAGCAGAAAAAGCCAGAAATGGCTCTGTGGCTCAAGTGGTAGAGCATTAGCCTTGAGCTGAAGAGCTGAGGGACAGCGCCCAGGCCCAGAGTTCAGTGCCCACGACCAACAAAAATAATAATAAATAAATAAAAATAAAAAAAAATTCACTGAGGGTAAAGTCCATAAAATTTTTCCAAGGAGAAGAAGTACCAATTTAATATCTCCACCTTCTTTATAGATTGCTACTCTATGAACTTGGAACTATTGTCTCTTTTTCTTTTCCACAGAATTGAGTCCAAGGATCTCTCTGAAATTCCTCCATGCTGCCCCCACCAAAAGACCTTTATGCCATCATTAATGGTTAAGAAGTCACGAGCAAAAAACCTTTCTGTTTGCTGAGAACTCTTGGTGTACCTGGTGACCCGGATGCAGGAAATTTGCTATGAGCCTTCCTCACCCTTTGTCTTGTGGCTGCTTCTTCACACTGCCAGGAAAAGCTATTAATGCTTGCCCTTCTATGAGGCAAAGACTGAGTTTTTCTTTTTAGCAGCCTCACAAAGGAGCTCTGGTTCTGAGAAGCTCCAAGGCCTGACAGCTCTAGGGCTCCTCCTCCTTTCCAGACATCCAGAAGATATGAACTAATATATCAGGTGTCCATAAAACATGTATGGCATGGTGATCTGTCTGGGCCCTTCATGCTGCAGATGTGTGTTCATGCATAATGTATGTGCATCTTTGTGACTGTTAGTATTGTCAATTGGCTGGAAACATCCTATAAAGCGTCAATGTTCTAGGGAAGTAACTGGAAGGATGGAGCTGACCTTCATTTCACACTGACCAGCTACTGATCTGGATTTCTGCTTTCCTCTTCACCCCTGAATTGGCAGCCCTAGAACACAGAACTGTGCTGTTTTGGCTGCCTCCCTAGTGAACCTTGCCCTTGGAGAGGATCAGAGGCATGTGGGGAGTCACAGAATAACTTTGAAGGTCATCTCAAAGCTGTTCTCTGTACTATCATTTCCATGCCAGAGCTGAAATCACACACATAGACTTGCTTTTAGGCCATGTCAAAAATCTCTTTACTTCTGAACCACAGCTTCCTATTTGGGATTAAAACTGCCTGCCCTAACTACCTCACAAGGTTGTTATGAGGATAAAGTGACATTAAACTGTCTCAAAGTGTGCTGTGAATGTTAAGTGACTAGGAAAGGGGAAGGGGAGGGTGAATGGGGAAAGGGAGGGGAGGTTGAATACGGATGGTACTGGAGGCAGGCTGGATTGGAGAAATGAAGGGACTATCAGAGGTCAGCTGAGGGCTGGGCCTGTTAATAACGGGCATTAAAAGGGCCACTCTCACGGCAAGATTTTGACCAAGCAATCTCGTGGGTTTTGCAGGTCTCATGTTTGAGAATTAGGGCAAGGATCCGGACCTGCTTACTCCCCAGGCTTGCTGTGAAGTGCGTGCAGTCAAGGGAAGGGCAGGGCCTGTGGGGGGTTTGAGTCAGAAGAATGACTCCTCGGCCTTCCACTTATCAGACACACTCCTCCAGCCAGGTGGGGCTCGGATCCTCTCGTTGCCTCCCTGCAGGGTGGCAGGAGTGAGGCGGGGAGTGCGAGCGGTAGGCCTCTTGGGTGTGGGGGCTCCCCTGCAGCTGACTTTGGACCAGGAACCAATGCTCAGAAGCTTACTTTCCTAGGGGGACGCGTAAGCCAGGGGCACCTTCGGGAGCGCACGTCGGACGCGAGCAGGCGCATTTCCGCTTTCGGTGGCCGCGGGATGGCTGGCGGGCGTTGGGGGAAGGGAGATGTCGGCGGAGCCGAGGGAGGGACCATATCCGGGAGAGTGGCAGCTTCCGACCAGTGGTCGCGCTTCCGGAGAGGCGTTTCCGGTGGTGGCGGCAGCCGCGACTGTGGTGGTTCCGGGTGTCTTTGTCCCCCCGGTGTCGCGGCCCTGGCCCGCAGGTGCGTTGGGGGCCGCCCGTCACCCCTCTGCCTTCTTGCCTTTCTCCGCTGGAGGAGCTGCAGGGGCCCGGCGGAGAAGATGCACGGGCCGCGGCCGGGGCCGAGCCCCTCCGGACCTCAGGCTCCGTCTCCCTGGCAACGGCCTGGTCCCCGGGGCGGGCGGGAGGAGGAGAAACGCGCGCCCGGTCCTGCCCGGTGGCCGGCGCCGGAGGCGGAGGGCGGCGCGCAGGCCGCTGGGCCTCGGCCGGGCTCCGGCGCGGGGCAGCGAGCCGGGCTTCCCGGGCGGACGGCCTGCGCCTCCCCGCCCGCCCCTCCATTTTTCCGGGTACTGCGCGGAGCGTCTCGGTGGATGTTCGTGAATGAATGAGTGTCACCGGAGCTCTTCCCGCCCCCCACCATCCTCGGGAGGGGTGGCAGCGGCACCGTGGGGTGCTGAGTTTTGTGGGGGATCCGGGTGTGAGTCCCCGTTGGTTCTGTGGCCCGGGGCAAGCCTGACGGTCGCGCTGAGCTCCTTTACCTTTTCTGTGGAACACTCACCGCTACTGCTAGGTTATTGTGAGGGAAAACGGAAGTAATGTTAATTTCCTGTTTCTCCCCTCTCTCCGTCTCTGTGTCTCTCTCCCTCTCTCCTCCCTCCCCCTTCCTTCCTCCCTCCCTCCTCCATTCATTTTTCCATTCGTTCTCAGTACTCACGTCTCCCCTTTTCCATTAGGATCCTGCTTCCTTAAGAAATTCTCCACTTGGCTGAACAGGTAGATGGAAATCTCCCATACGAACTGCTAACTTATTTCTATCTTGATTGAAGGCTTTTCCCCACGAGGCTGAAAGAGGACAGCATTCCCAATGTCCCAGTTTAAGCGTCAACGGATCAACCCGCTTCCCGGGGGCCGCAACTTCTCAGGTGATCACTCTTATCCCTATGTACTGGGAAGTAAGTGCTCTGGAGTTAAGTCTTCAGAAACACGGCTCTGGAGGTTTCCCTGGTGGAGAGCAGTTTGCTGCTGATGTGCAGGCGTTCCTTAGGAAATGACATGAAGCCTGGAAGAGGGTTTTACTCCATCATCTGGCTGCCTTAGTGCTTAAGGTAGCAGATGTGGTTTCTGTAGATTTCTCTGTCCTCATAGGCGCAAACTCTACGTCTCTTCTGGGTCCTCCTCCTGGTTTGCTTACTCCTCCTATGGCCACAGACCTCTCCCAAAATGCCAGGCACCTTCAGGTACGTTGCCTAGCCTCTTTGGTGAGTTTTCCCCTTGGCACTGCCCTGGTATGCCTGGTACAAGTGTGTTGCTTACACTCTAGTGGTCAGCACTTTGGACTCTTATTCTAGTAGTGGGCCTGTATGGTAGTGGCTGGACACCCCCAGGCTGGGGAGACTTCTGATTCCAGAGGGACCTTTGGGTGCATCTTAGGATTAAAGAACTGGAGACACGAGTGAGCCATGAAATCACTGGCCCATGCTTCCTCCTAGTCAGTTGTGTTTACTCTTTGCTTCCTTCTCTGTAAATCTTGATGTAGTGCTCTGAGCTGGAGCCCCTTGGATAACTATGGCCCTAGAGGCAGGATGTAATTTTGTTCAGATTACTCATTACTAGTTTTTACTCATTACTATTTTCTTAAATAAATTTTTTTTTATGCCAGTCCTGGGTCTTGAACTCAGGTCCTAAGGTGCTGTCTCTGAGCTTTTTTTTTTGTTGTTGGTCGTGGGGCTTGAACTTGTTGGTCGTGGGCCTGGGCGCTGTCCCTCAGCTCTTCAGCTCAAGGCGAGCACTCTACCTCTTGAGCCACAGTGCCACTTCCGGTTTTCTGAGTATTTATTGGAGATAAGAGTTTCATGGACTTTCCTGCCTGGGCTGGCTTTGAACCATGATCTTTAGATCTCAGCCTCCTTAGTAGCTAGGATTACAGGTGTGAGCCACCGGCTCCTGGCCCTAAGCTTTTTTTTTCCCCACTCAAGTCTGGCACTCTACCACTTGAGCCATAGCTCCACTTCTGGCTTTTTTGGTAGTTTATTAGAGATAAGAATCTTGTGAATTTTTTTTTTCTGGGCTAGCTTCAAACTGTGATCCTCAGCTCTCAGTCTCCTGAGTAGGATTATGGTATGAGCCACTGGTGCTCAGCTTATTTTTATTGTTTTAAATAGTTGTACAAAGGGGTTTCAATCCAACAAGTCAGACTATGAGTACAATGCATTTTGCTCAACATCACTTCTTCTCCCATCTTTCCCAATCCCATCCCTATCTCCAAGTTATGTAGTTCAGCTTATCACATGCTGTACGTTGAATCCATGCTACCTATTGCTCTTAACCTGTCCTCTTCTCTTGCAGGGTGGGGAAAAGCAGCGGGTGTTCACTGGCATTGTTACCAGCTTGCATGACTACTTTGGGGTGGTAGATGAAGAGGTCTTTTTTCAGCTAAGGTAAACTTGAGACTCGACCCTGTGGGAAATGCTTATGGATTCAGTTTTGGCTCCAAGCTCCCATCTCTAAAGTCATTGCTTTGCTGTGTTCACTCAAGGTTTGGGAAGTTTTGATGGGAAGGGCCTCGGGGACAGTCAGGATGGTTGTTCAGGGTATCTCTCCTGATGGGGCCTCCTGGCTTGTGTGCTCACAGTGTGGTGAAGGGCCGACTGCCCCAGCTGGGTGAGAAGGTGCTTGTGAAGGCTGCATACAACCCAGGCCAGGCAGTGCCCTGGAATGCTGTGAAGGTGCAAACGCTCTCCAACCAGGTATTAATCTATCATTGGGAAAAAAAGGGCCGGGGGTTCAGTGACCTGGCCAAGAATCTTACTTTTGTCATGGAGGTGGGACTGTATTCAAGGGGATGAATGTGTCAACTGGGATTCCCAGAATCTTTTGCCTGTTGTCCCCCAGCCCTTACTGAAGTCCCCAGCACCTCCTCTTCTGCATGTGGCAGCTCTGGGCCAGAAACAAGGGATCCTGGGAGCTCAGCCCCAGTTGATCTTCCAGCCTCACCGGATCCCCCCACTTTTCCCTCAGAAGCGTGAGTATCAATGTGCATCAAGCATGCATATAATTCAGAGTGTGGTTGTATGAGGCACTCTGGATGAATGGGTTTGTGATATTTGGGGTGCTGCTATCAGGACAAAAGTAGGTACTTTGTGCCCTGGAAGAAAGAGAGGGCATATTGAGTTACTGGCCATTTCCCCTCTGCAGCTCTGAGTCTCTTCCAGACATCCCACACACTTCACTTGAGCCACCTGAACAGATTTCCAGCTCGAGGTCCTCATGGACGACTGGATCAGGGCCGAAGGTAAGAGGATGATCAGACGACGTTTTATTTCATTTCTCCCTAGGAGTAGTCCTCCCCCCCCCCCTTTTTTTTTTGCCATCTGCTGATGCTAGCATTCTCTTTCTGCAGTCCCTTTTCTCTCAGACACATTGAAATTTACATAAAAATATTGGAACTTTATATACTAGCTCAGCAGTGTATATTAAAATAAATTTTTTTACCCTTACTGGAATATGAACTCAGGGTGTTATATTGGTTCAGTTTGTTTGGATCTTTGGTTTACTTCTTTGGGTGGTTGCTGTGCCATTTAAGCCACAGCTCCAGCCCAGTATTTTGCTGGCCTTGTGGGCTTTTCTTCCCAGACTGGCTTTTTGAACTGCAGTCCTCCAGATCTGACTCCTGACTAGCTTGATTACAGATGTGAGCCCATCACTCAGCTGGCTGTTTATTTTTTTTTTTAACAGTATTAGGGTTTGAACTCAGACTCACACTTGATAGGCAAGTGTTCTACTACTTGAGCCATGCCCTCAACTCTTTTTTTGCTTTCCTTATACACCCTGCCTGGCTTTATTGGTTGAGATAATGTTCTCACTAACTTTTTGATTGGGTAATCCTCCTGATCTCTGCCTCCTGAGCAGCTGAATTATCAGCATGAGTCACTGTGCTAGTCTTGATAAAATTTATCTTTTAACAGGTCACACTGAAATACCTAGTGAAACTTTTTTTTTTTTTTTTCCTTTTCTGGTTTTGTGGCTTGAACTCAAGCTTGATGGTCTTGCTAGGCTTGTATGCTGATGGATAATACTCTACCACTGGAGCCATATCTCCGTCCTGGCTTTTTGCTGGTTATTTTGGGCTTTTATGCTTGAACTGTCTTTGAACTTCCATCCTCTGATCTCAGTAGCTAGTATTACCAGTGTTAGCCACTGGGTATTTAGCTGAGATACATTTAAAATATGCAATTACCCTTTTATTTTTAGTCCCTAGGATTGACTTATAAGAATTATTGTGTGGGGGCTGGGAAGGTGGCTCAGTGTGGTAGAGCGCTTGTCTTGCATGCATGAAGCCCTGGGTTCGATTCCTCAGCACCACATAAGCAAAAAAAAAAAAAAGCTGGAAGTGCCGCTGTGGCCCAAGTGGTAGAGGGCTAGCCTTGAGGTGAAGAGCTGAGGGACACAGCACCCAGGCCCAGAGTTCAGGCCCCAGAATTCAGGGGCCTGAAATGAAACATTGAGGGGCTGGGAATATGGCTAGTGGTAAAGTGCTTGCCCTGCATGCATAAAGCCCCAGGTTCTATTCTTGAGTACCACATACACAGAAAGCTGGAAGTGGTGCTATGGCTCAAGTGGTAGAGTGCTAGCCTTGAGCTGAAGAGCTCAGAGACAGCGCCCAGGCCAAGTGTTCCAAGTCCCATGACCAACCAAAAAAAAACCCCCAAACATTGAGATATATGGCTTCTTTGTATACATCATTCCACCATTTCCAGAGATGCGGCATTGCAATGTCTACGTTTCCTCTGCCCAGGAATCTGGGCTTTGTCCCTTGAGCATGCAGATAACCTTCTTGGCCTTAGGTGGAATAATGAGCCCTGTTGGTTTCGTGATCCTTTGTCACGTGTGAGCATTGGAGATGGCCAGAAGCTCGCTGCCTCCTGCCCCTTTGCAGGGTTACAGGCCTTTTCTTGCCTGTTATCCCTGAGATATTTTTGCTTTTGGAAAAAAAAAAAAGATACTGAGATTTGCACTCAGGGCTTTGTCTGAACTTTGATCTGCCTGTCTTAGGCTTCCTGATGTTGGATCACAGGTGTGCATGATTGAGTTCACTTTCCCTCTGTGGACTTTTCTGCCTAGGCTGGTATATAAGTGATCCTACCAATTTGAGCTTCCTGCATAATTTAGGATGATAGGAGTATGTCACTATGCCTAGTTGTGGGTTAAAAAGGGGTTGGTGGAACTTTTCTGCCCAAGCTGGCCTTCAGCTATGAATCTTGCAATCTCAACTTCCCAAGTAGCTAGATTTATAGGTGTGAGCTGTTGGGGCCTGGCTTTGCTTAACTGTTTGTAATGGAAAATTTGGATAGATACAGACAGAGCAGAACAGGAAGATAGGATGAACACTTACCTATTAACCAGCTTTTTTTTTTTTTTTTTTGTGCTGATCCTGTGGCTTGAACTCAGGGTCTGGGCACTGTCCCTTTGCTCAAAGCTAATGCTCTGCCATTTCAGCCACAGCTCCATTTCTGGCTTTTTGCTGGTTAATTGTAGTTAACAGTCTCTTGGACTTTTCCTGCCCAGGCTGGCTTCAAACTGTGATCCTTGCATCTCAGTGTGCTGAGTCATTAATATAACAGGTGTGAGCCACTGGCATCAAGCTTGATTTTGTTAAAAGGTAAAATCATGGAAGGATAAAGGAGGTGCTGAGGTGCTCCTGTGACAGCTCCTAGAGAAATGTGTTGCTCTGGAAGAGTGGTGCTCCCACCACTCAGGAGTAGAGTGTGCAGAGCAGGAAGAGTGGTAGCAGGAATTTAGACACGCGGGGGAATTTGTACCAGGGACTTGCACACACTGGTGTTCTGCGTGGAAGCCAAGCTTTATCTTGATTCTCTGGCTTTAGGATGAGAGGAACAATGTCACCATTGAACTCCTGCTGAGTTCTCAGGTCTTCACCCAGGCTGTGCTTCTGTTACTGAGTTGGCTTCTATTGGCTCTGCCTTAAGTTGCCTTTAGACAGTGAGGCTGTCTAAAGACAGAGTGGCTGTCAGATCCCCAGTTTATGGTATGTGACATGAGTCTGGCTGTGGATGGCATTTACCGACAGCTTGCTTCAGACCTGGTGAGCCGAATGATGAGAATGTCCGAATGTTTCAAAGGGTGCTTCTGTTAGAAACACAGGTACAGAAGTTGCTTTCAGGAAATGGAGATATTCATGAACAAGGAAATGACCCGGGTGAATAAAGGACCAGTCTCAGATTAAATGTAACCAGCTTAGCTACTCAGGTATGACAATGGAAACGACTTAGGCAGCTAAGAGGGTAGAACACAAACCTGATGTGAAGCCAGCTGCTTCCTAGGCACAGAGAACTGCCAGTTAGTTTCTTTCTATTATGACATGGAAAATTAATTTCCCCCTTATCTATCTATTGTCTTACTATCAATGGCTCTAAAGCTTTTTTTCTGTTTTTTTTTTTTTTTTTTTGCCAGGCCTGGGGCTTGAACTCAGGGCCTGGGCACTACTCTGAGCTGCTTTTGCTTAAGGCTAGTGCTCTACCACTTGCACCACTGCGCCACTTCCAGCTTTTTCTGCTTATGTGGTACTGAGGAATTGAACCCAGGACTTCATGCATGCTAGGCAAGCACTCTACCACTAAGCCCTCTCCAGCCCTCCTCTATTCATTCTTTATACCTCTTTCTTATGAAAAGTTATTATAGAAATGTATAAAGTAATATCATAGGTGATAAGTGATTTAAAAAACACAGTTTTATAATAAAACATAGTTCTCTTTAACATCTTGTTAAATAGGGGAAGATATTACAGAACGTTAAGCTGAGTGGATGGCTATACCTAGCTACTCAGGAAGTAGAGATCAGGAGGTTCATGGCTCTAGGATAGCTTGGACAAAAAAATTCAAGAGCCAGGTGCCAGTGGCTCATGCCTGTAATGTTAGCTACTGAGGAGGCTGAGATCTGAGGATCACAGTTCAAAGCCAGCTGGAAATGGAGGTACGGATTAAGTGGTAGAACACTAGCAATGAGCAAAAAAGCTAAGTGAGAGTTTGAAGCCCTAAGTTCAAGCCCCAATAGCAACACATATAGAAAAAGCTTGAGACCTCATCTCAATCAGTAAAACAGCCTGGTAGTGTGTGTGACTGTCAACCAGCTCTGCCGAAAGCATAAATTGGAGAGTCATGGTCCAGGCCAGCCTGGGCATAAACATGAGATCTTATTTGAAAAATAACTGGTTTAGCAATAAGTATTGAGATGGGACGCAAGTAGTAGAGTTTCTGTCTAGCAAGAACAAGGTTCTGAGTTCAAACTGCAGTACCATCAAACAAACAAAAAGAACTTTAAGATTTTTTTCTGGCCCAGTACTGGAGTTTGAACTCAGGGCCTGGGCGCTGTCCCTGGGATCTTTTTGCTCAAGGCTAGTGGTCTACCACTTTGAGCCACAGTGCCACTTCTGACTTTTTCTGTTTATGTGCTACTGCGGAATCGAACCCAGGGCTTCATGCATGCTAGGCAAACACTATCACTAAGCCACATTTCCCAGCCTCAAGGAACTTTTTCTTTGTGATTTTCCTAGTTTCAGTTTAGTTTTGTGTCGGTCATGGAGCTTGAACTCAGGCCTGGGTACTGTCCTTGAGCAATTTTGCTTAAAGCTAGTGCTGTACCACTTTGAGCCACAATTCCACTTCTGGTTTTTCAGGTGGTAAATTGGAAATAAGAGTCTCGTGGGCTTTCCTTCTTGGGTTGGCTTTGAACTGTCATTCTCAGATCTCAGCCTCCTGAGTAGCTAGGATTATGCATGTATTTTACATGCATGTATTTTAATCTTAGAGTGCCAAGTTTTATAAATTCCTAAGCATTTTTCCATATTGTACTATGATCTTTACAATCATCTTAGTGGCTCTATGATTGTTGTATTTACTGTGAAAATTTGGTTGTTGTTATATATGTGCTTTTTCTTATTCTTTATACTGCTTGCTACATTTCCACTCTATATTACCACCCTCCCCCCCCCTTTTTTTTTTTTGCCAGTCTTGGGGCTTGACCTCAGGGCCTGAGCACTGTTCCTGAGCTTCTTTTGCTCAAAGCTAGTACTCTACCACTTGTACCACAGTGCCACTTCCAGCTTTTTCTGTTTATGTTGTACTGAGGAATCGAACCCAGGGCTTTATGCATGCTAGGCAAGCACTTTACCACTAAGCCACATTCCCAGTCCCTTATTTTATTTTATGTGGTGCTGGGGATTGAACCCAGGCCTGGAGCATGCTAAAGTTGTACTTCTGAGCTATCTTTTTTTTTTGTCGGTCATGGGGCTTACACTCAGCCTGAGTACTTTCAGCTCTTCAGCTCAAGGCGAGTGCTGTATCACTTGAGTTCCAGTTATCTGGTGGTTTCCTGGAGATAAGAATTTCACAGCCTTTCCTGCCTGGGCTGGCTTTGAACCATGATCTTAAGATCTCAGCCTCCTGAGTAGCTAGGATTACAGGCATGACCCACTGGCGCCCAGCTTGAGCTATCTACTTTTTTTTGTCAGTCATGGGCCCTGAACTCTGGGCCTGGGCACTGTCCCTCAGCTCTTCAGCTCAAGGCTAGTGCTCTACCACTTGAGTCACAGTCCCACTTGTGGCTTTTTCTGCTTATGTGGTGCTGAGGAATTGAACCCAGGGCCTCATGCATGCAAGGCAAGCACTCTACCATTGAGCCACCTTCCCAGCCCCCGAGCTATCTATTTTTTAGCCCCTGAGCTATCTATTTTTTAATGTTGAGTATTCAGTTATTTCTTTCTAGAGGAGGGCGGGTGGGATATATCTGTAACAATGTTGTTTCTTACTTCTGACGATGAATCAATCTTTAGCGATGACTACGACTCCAAGAAACGCAAGCAGCGGGCTTGGGGAGAGCCTTGGGGTGCTAAGAAGCCCAGGCATGATCTGCCTCCATACCGGGTCCACCTCACCCCCTATTCTGTGGACAGGTGAGTGGCGACTGAAGGGTGTCACAGGTAAACTTTGTGCAAATGTGAATTGTGAAAGCCTTTTCCAAAACCAGCCAGCCAAAACTACTGTTCAGCACTCTGCCTTTTTATTCATCATAGCTAGATTTTTTCATCATTAATATTTATTAGGCAGTTTATTTTCTTTTTTAACAACTACATACTGTAGTTGAATGGAGGGATCATAATTTAGTTAACTAGTTCTCCATTTGCAATCTAGTTATTGTAAATATTGTAGTAGACATTCTTGTCCATCTGCATAGTTGTGCCTGTTCAGATGCCTTCCTAAGGAACACGAGTCCTTGACTGGAATAGCTGGCTCTAAGCGTTCAATTTTAAACTTTGATAGCTGTTGCCAGTTCTCTGTCTCTCTATCTCTCTCTGCTGTTCACTCTCACCAGCAGAGCATGAAAAACTTGTTCCTCAGGCCCTTGCCAATGTGCTATCAAACCTTTTTTACTTGTAAATGAGACTGAACATTTTCAGTTTTCAAGTCTTCCGCATTTCTTTTGTTTCTCTTAAATATGTATTGAACCTCGTTATTGACTTCTAAGTTCTTTTTTTTTTTTTGGGGTCCGGTCGTGGGGCCTGAACTCTGGGCCTGGGCGCTGTCCCTCAGCTCTTCAGCTCAAGGCTAGCGCTCTACCACTTGAGCCACAGCGCCACTTCTGGCTTTTTTCTTATGTGGTACTGAGGAATCGAACCCAGGGCCTTGAGCATGCAAGGCAAGTGCTCTACCACTGAGCCACCTTCCCAGCCCTCTAAGTTCTTTTATGTTGTCCTTCCTGGTTTGTCTTCTGCCCCAGGGAGGGTTTTTTCTTTTTTTCTTTCTTTCTTTTTTTGTGTGCCAATACTGGGGATTCGATTAAGGGCCTACGTGTATTATCCATTAGGTTTTTCACTCAAGACCTGCACTCTGTCATTTGAACCATAGTTTTTTACTTCATTAGGATTTTCACTCAAGGCTGGCACTTTTGTCACTTGAACGACAGCTCCACTTTGGGCTTTTTGGTGGTTAACTGGAGATAAGAGTAATGGATTTTCCTGCCTGGGCTTTGAACTGTTGTACTCATACCCATCCTCCTCAATAGCTAGGATTATAAGCATGAGCTACCCATGCCCGGCAACATAGGGAGGTTTTATATCAAATGGTCAGATACGGTCCGTGGTTATCTTATGAAGTGCTTTACTGAGAAAGTACTTATTTCCCAAACTGAAAAATATCCATTTTGTTAGGCTTAAGTGTTAGTCTCTTTTGCTAAGTCTCCATTCTCTTGCTGTCTTCCTTCAGCCCCATCTGTGACTTCCTAGAACTCCAACGCCGTTACCGCAGCCTTCTGGTTCCCTCGGATTTTCTGTCTGTGCACCTCAGCTGGCTGTCGGCCTTCCCACTGAGCCAGCCCTTTTCCCTCCACCACCCCAGCCGGATCCAGGTCTCTTCGGAGAAGGAGGCAGCTCCAGACTCTGGTGCTGAGCCTAGTTCTGTGGGCAGCGACCCCACTTACAGTTCCAAGGTCGGTTGACTGGGCTCCTGTCACTGGCTTTGTCGCCTTCTGGACGGTGGAAGGTGTCTGAGTGCGGTATGCCCCTGCACAGGTACTGCTGCTCTCCTCCCCGGGCTTGGAGGAGCTGTACCGCTGCTGCATGCTCTTTGTGGATGATATGGCTGAGCCAAAGGAGGCGCCAGAGCATCCTCTGAAGCAGTTAAAGGTAAGTGCCAGGCTGCAAGAGGCAAGATGCCCTCACTGGTCGTCTCCAGAGCTGCCATGTTTTTCAGTAGCTTGGCTCCTGCCTGTTAATACGTAGAAACAATATTTTTTAGTGTTTTACTCAAGAGGAAAGAACAGCTCAGAGATGTCTCCACTCCGCAGAGTCCATTGGCTGGTTTGTGTTCAGGGCCAGAGAGCCCTGTGGTAGTGGACTTAACTGTTTCCCGTGGTTGTAGTTCTTGTTGTGGGAAGCCCAGGCAATATGGGTCTTCTTTTATCATTCCAAATCTCTCTGCAGTTTTTGCTGGGCCGCAAGGAAGAAGAGGCAGTGCTGGTTGGGGGTGAGTGGTCTCCTTCCCTGGATGGCCTTGATCCCCAGGCTGACCCACAGGTGCTGGTGCGAACAGCCATCCGCTGTGTGCAAGCCCAGACCGGCATCGACTTGAGCACTTGCACCAAGTGGTGAGTGGCCTTCCCTGTGTGGTGAGCTGCTGTGGGGACTCCAGGAGGCCTGGCCTGTGCCTCTCCCCTGTGCCTAGTGAGCATGCACGCCTCCCGCTTCCCCTCTCCCAGGCTGCTCGTAGGTCCTTCGCGTGTCTAGGGTTGGGGGCCTGAAGGCCAGCTGGTGCTTGCCATGCTCTTCGTTGCCTGAGCACTCCCACAGTCACTGTGTGCTTACTGAGTCTCCCTCTGCCCAACCCGTGGCCCTGGCACGTTGTTTTGTGTTGGCATTCTCACAGCTTGGCATGCAGTGTGTGCTTACTGAGTGCTGACTGCATGTGGAGACATGCGTCTGTGAGCACCGTTTCTGCGTGGATGTGTCATGGCTTAGTTCTTTATTTTTCCTTGTTGAGCAGGTGGCGCTTTGCAGAGTTTCAGTATCTGCAGCCGGGGCCGCCGAGGCGGCTGCATACAGTAGTGATCTACCTGCCAGACATCTGGACCATCATGCCCACCTTGGAGGAGTGGGAAGCCCTGTGCCAGCAGAAGGCCACAGAGGCAGATCCCCCACCCCAGGACGCGCCCAGTGTAAGGCTGAGCTTTAGGAAAACGCAGGGACAATGGGTGCCCTGACCCTCGGAGCAGAAGGTCACATCTTGGCTCTTGTCACAGGAAGCCGAGTCTACAGAACAGGCTTCTGATGTGGTGGAACAGGCAGCAGCAGCAGACACTTCTAAACGGAATGCAGACACCCCCGAGGCCACCGCTCAGCAGGAAGTGGACACTGATCTCCCAGAAGCCCCTCCACCTCCTCTAGAACCTGCTGTCATGGCACAGCCTGGCTGTGTAAGCCTGTCACTCCACGCAATTGTGGAGGATCGGAGGCCAAAAGAAAGGATCTCTTTTGAGGCAGGTGTAGGAGTCTCCAAGAGGTTGTGAGTGGGCACGGGGTGGCAGTGTGGCACCTGATTCTCATGGGCCTCTGCTGCCTCTGCAACAGGTGCTGGTGCTGGCGGAGCTGTTTCTGGAGATGCTACAGAGGGATTTTGGCTATAGAATCTATAAGATGCTGTTGAGCCTTCCTGAGAAGGTCGTGTCTCCCCCTGAAACTGAGAAGGAGGAAGCAGCCAAGGAAGAAGCAGTCAAAGAGGAGGAGGCCACCAAAGAAGAGGTGGCCAAGGAGTCCAAGGATGAGGTACAGAATGAGGGCACAGCTGCTGAGTCAGACACCCCGCTGGTGAGTACCTTCGTCGAGTGGGGCTGTCCTGAGGCCTGCACGCAGTAATGTGCCGTGCTCCGAGTCCCTCGCTTGTGCCAGGCACAAGCACTGTCTACATCCTGTCCCGTCCTGAACGTGGCCACGTGGCTGGGAAGTGCTCCTCCCTGGATGAGGGGAGGGAACACAGAAATGCGTCAGAGTGCTTGGAAGGTACAAGTATTGGGATTGCCTGTTGGTTGGCGTTGGCTAGGCAGATTCCAAACCAGTCTAAATCATGAGTCTGCTTCTTGTCCAAATGCTGTCAAGTAGACAGAATTGCTTCTGTTTCTGAGACTGAGATTGGTGACTGAGAAAAGCCCCAGGTGTCTAGATGTGCCCGGGGCATGTTCTGAACTATGTGGGGATCACTGTCCACAAAGCGTGCAGTGGGTAACGGTGCCTGGCACACAGCTGATACTCAAATGCTCTTGTGATTGTTATCATGGTGGTCGTGTGCCTCCCTCCTCATCACCCCGTTTACTTGTCTAGAAGGAGGATGGGCTTCTGCCCAAACCACCCTCTTCTGGGGGAGAGGAGGAAGAGAAGCCACGGGCTGAGGCAGCCGAGGACCTATGTGAGATGGCCCTGGATCCAGACTTGCTGCTTTTGAGGGATGATGGAGAGGAAGAGTTCGGTGTGTCTGGGGGGTAGGAGGCCTCAGTGGGCAGCTCTCTGGGTTTGGTTGTCATGGTTTTTTCTTAGGCTGTGGAGAAATGTGGGCTACCATGGTCCTGGATCCACATTTACTTGGGATTTCTGCAGCAGGAACAAAGTTGGAGGACTCAGAGGTTCGGTCTGTGGCCTCAAACCAGTCAGAGATGGAGTTCTCCTCCCTTCAGGACATGGTGAGCCCTCTTCTTGCTCACCTCATGATGGGAAGCGTGGCCAGGGTGGACTTTCTCGTGGGAGAGGGAATTCTTCCTCTGTGAGAGAGACGCGAGGGACTAAATGTAGTTCTTTTTTTTGGGAGGGGGGAGGGTTAACTGGTCTGGGGCTTGAACTCAAAAGCCTGGGTACAGTTCCTGAGCTTTTGTGCTCAAGGCTAGCACTCTGCTACTTTGAGCCACAGTGCCACTTCTAGTTTTCTGGTGGTTAACTGGCAATGAGTCTTGTGGACTTTCCTGTCCAGGCTAGCTTTGAACCATGATCTTTAGATCTCAGCCTTTTGAGGAGCTAGGATTACAGGTGTGGACCCACCTGGCCCAAATATGGTTCTTGACTGATGAGAGCATCTCTGCCTTGGGGCAGGTGGGAGAGAGGGGCCTGATGTGGGAACACTGGGTTTTGGAAGGTACCCACAGAGGCTTGGAGTCCTGGCCCTGAGTCTCAAGTGCAAGCTTCTTGATGCTGCTAGCCAAGCTGCACACCGCGAAGGGGCGTCCTGGGCAGCTAGCTAGCAGTAAGGACTGCTGTCTATAAACCCGCTGATCTGCTTCCTTTGCAGCCAAAGGAGCTGGATCCCTCGGCTGTGCTCCCCTTGGACTGTCTTCTGGCTTTTGTGTTCTTCGATGCCAACTGGTGTGGCTACTTGCACCGGCGAGACTTGGAACGGGTCCTCCTCACACTGGGGCTCCAGCTCAGTGCTGAGCAGGTACCTTCTCTTCCTGTCCATTGCCCTTTCGGGGTGCTCTTGACATGGGTACAGCCTGCATGAAGCCCCTCTGTGCCTTCGGCCTTCTGAGGAGCAGGCATTTGCACCTCTTGACCAGTGGGTGTTGGGTTCTCCTGTAGGCCAAGCAGCTGGTCAGCAGGGTGGTAACGCAGAACATTTGCCAGTACCGGAGCCTGCAGTACAGCCGCTCAGAAGCGTTGGACGGTGGGCTTCCTGAGGATGTGCTCTTTGGTAAGTTCTGGGCTCCGTGGCCTGTGGGCACAGGGTCTTGAGAGGTTGCTTCTCCTGAGAATTTTTTCATGGGCCCTTCTAGGAAACCTGGACCTAGTGCCTCCTGGAAAGAGTGCAAAGCCAGGGGCTGCCCCCATGGAGCATAAAGGCTTGGTGCCCCACAACGGCAGCCTCATCAATGTGGGGAGCCTGCTGCAGCGCGCAGAGCAGCAGGACAGCAGCCGCCTCTATCTAGAGAACAAGATCCACACACTGGAACTGAAGCTGGGTGAGTGGCGTGAGGTTATGGGAGATGGGAATAGCGGACATGGGGTGGGACGTCACTCTGGCCCATGGCCGAGCCATGCTCATCTTTCTGGTATGTCCTCCCTTACCTTGCAGAGGAGAGCTATAACCGCTTCTCAGCCACAGAAGTGACAAATAAGACACTGGCAGCAGAGATGCAGGAGCTGCGGGCCCGGCTGGCAGAGACTGAGGAGATGGCTCGGGTAGCTGAAAAGCAGAAGAACCAGCTTCAGCGGCTGCTGCAAGACTTTCGGAGGCGTTTGACCCCGCTGCAGCTTGAGGTGCAGCGGATGGTGGAGAAGGTGAGGCTTCGAGTCCCAGCAGAGCGAGCTACCATGTGGAGAGTGGATGGCTTAGGGGTGATAGCCGCAGGCTGGCCCTCCTTGTCCTGCCTCGGCTGCTGCCTTTCTCTGTCTCTTGCCCAGGCTGTTGCCTCCATCTCATCCCCTAGTTTCTTAGAGAGGCAGCTGTCAGGGGCAGTGGCTTGCCGTAGCTCCGAAGCTCCCGGCAGGAGAGGGGGAAGCTGTCCTCAGATGGCCTCATCTCTTACATCTGCTCGTAGGCTGACAGCTGGGTAGAGAAGGAGGAGCCAGCGCCTAGCAACTGAGGGGCTTCGCCGAGGAGCGGCCGTCCTGAGAGGTCAGCGATGGAGCCTGATGACATTAGAGCCCCTTTGGTACCAGCAGTGCTGGAGCGGGGCCTGGAGGCCATAGGCAGGGGAGGCTGAGTCCTGTGCTCAGCCTCTGCAGGGGATGTCAAGCCATCGGGTAGGGTCCATGCTATTTAAATGGACGTGAGAGGAACTCCAGTTCCAGCTACAACTAAATACAACATCTATTTGCACCCCTAGAATGTCATTTTGCCCTCAACCTTGGAATTCCTCCCAGGGCCCTTGTAGTCTTGTGCTGTCTCCTGTCCTCTTCCAGTTTAGAGTAAGACGGGAGGAAAAGGCTTTTCAAGCCTGTAACAAGGTCTGATGCCAATAAACTGCAGGAGCAGACATCTGGCAGGGGGGCTGAGAAATCCCTCCTCTGGTTGGCGGCAAATCCTGGAGGTTCCAGGTGCCGATTCCTGGGGTGGGCTCTGGTGGCCCCTGTGAGAACGGAGCCCGTGCTAGAAAGCTCTCAGTGTTGGGTCAAGGTGGCCAAAAGAAAGAACACTGTGTTTCAGCCACCCGACTTGCCAGAAGAAACCAGCACCTCTGTCCCCGGCTCCTGTGTTCAGAATGTGGTATTGGCTCTGGCCCAGCCTTTTTCCCTGTTACCCATAATTCTCGCCTCTTTCCATACCCCGTGGTCTCGGTTTGACTTTGTACATAACGTTGTTGGTTTTTTTTTTTTTTTGGCTTTTTGTTTTTTAAATAAACCAAAGTCAAAAAACAAACTGAGTGTGTCTCCGAAGCCCCCGCTGCAGCGAGTGTGGCCGTGGGAGTGAGTGGGAGCCTTGGCGCCCTGGGCCGTGCGGCTGGGCGTGATGGGGTGAGGCCCTCTGACCCGCGAGCAGGACCCAGGCAAACGGTAGTGACCTCCCTCACCCCGAGTCAGAGCACAGCAGCAGGCGGCTGTTTTACTGGAAACTTTACTTGAAAAAATAAAATTCCAAACATCCAGGTGAGCTACAAAACCACTGTTCTCGCCTTGCGGCCTGTGGCTTGCTGGCAGTGGGCTAGGTCAGGACGGCTCACTGAGTCCTCGTTACTCACCCGGTGGGGCTCAGCCCTACCCTCCACCTGTAGAGCCAACTTGTTTCCCAGGGCTGTGTCTGCATCTCACCTGGGAGTGAAGAGCCACGAGCAGCCGGTGGACTCCCCACCTGGTTCCTCGGAGGTAGATGCCCTCCCTGCCATGCCGCGGTGGAGGGGAACGCAGGCCTTCTGAGGGCCCAAGCCTGCTAGGGCCTGAGACGATGGCCCAAGCCTGTGGTTTACTCTGGACGGTTCTGGAAGGAAAGCCTCAGCTTATGTGGGGCTGAGTCCCGGCAGCCTGCTTGGGGCTCCTGGTGCTAGGCAGCCACTCAGGTCAAAGGGCTGGTGAGGAGAGCAGGGAGTGCCGCTGTCCTCGACCTGTTGGCTGGTGGAGGACAGGAGTCCGTGCCTGCTAAGGGCAAAGAGGAGACGCTGCCCGTATCCCTGGGCTTCCCAGGACTGGGGCGGGATGGGGGCTCAGTCATCTGCCACGATAGAGAGGGCTCGGAGCTCGCTCAGTTTGGCTTCATTCTCTCGCTCCCGCTGCTCATCGGAGTGACCTGGGTGGTCAAGCTGCTGGGTCAGGTCCCCGAAGATCTTGTGCATTTCTGAGTAGTACACCACCTGCCAGGAAGCAAGGGTAGTTCGCAGAGACTGGGCTCAGGTGCTGTATAGCACGTGCTGGGTGCAGGATATAAGCAGGGTCTGTTCCACCTGCTCCTGCCTTTACCCCATCGCCCCGGACCCCCCTGCAGCCAGGCCTGGAATGTTCACTGCAGAGCAAGGCTCTTGTCAAGACTGCAGGGCAGCATGGCTCATGTCTGTGGGTTCTTCCAGGCGGGCATCAGCAATGGGGTGGGGTTAGAGGGACGCAGAACAGGCTGAGGACCACAGGTATCTCCCAAGAGGAGGCCTGGGGACATTTCAATTTCCAGTCAGAAGCATGCACTCTCCTTCCACTTTAAGAGCTGGGAGACTGCAGGGGAGGTGCCATGCAGCTGTGCTGAGTGGAGTTGCACCCAGCAGGGCTCTACTAGGGGCAGAGCACTGCAAGGAGTGTGTGTGTGTGTGTGGGGGGGGGGGGGAGTGGCCCCCAGCTCCTTACCCTGGCCGTGATGCCTGGTGAGTCACCAGGAATGCTCACTTCTCCATGACTAATGACAGCAGCCGGGTGAGGAGGAGGTTGGCACAGAGGAGGCAGTAAACAACCCTGGCTACCCTGCTGCTTGGTTACAGGGCACCCCAAACCCCCTGAATAGTTCCAGCCTGGGCATCCTGCAGTTTCCACCCAGGAACTGGGAGGGCAACGCAGGAAGGCACTCAGTTCACTGGGAGGGGGTGGGGCCAGCCAGAGATTGAGGGAAGGCCAAGGTCTCCCAGCAGAGGGTGCAGTTGCTGGAAGGCAGCCCTCACCTTCTGGGCAAGGGTGGGAAGAGGCCCAGCCCCCTCTGGCTCTCTGCCTTCCTAGACAGAACAGGACCAAGGGAGGGCCTGGGTCACTAGCAAGACCCCGCCCAGCCCCAATCCCACTCAGGCTTCCTGCTGCCAAGTACTGAGCCCCATGGCTTTGGATGTTCACCGGAGGTACAGGTTGGGAGGTGGCAATCAGACTTTTCTGGGGGCAGTGGTGACTGCAAGTGACGAGGAACGACAACATCCACGGGAGGGCGCCCGACGCTCGGCCAAGAACAGAAGCAGGCGGGCAGGCAGTGGATGGGGACAGGAAAGCTTTCTCTTGGCCTAGGAAGGGTGTTGGGGGCCTGAGGCTAAAGGGAGGCACCTACTGTTAGCTAGGGACACATGTAGAGGAGCCATCCTGCTCCTGGCTCTGGCACCCAAACCTGGCCACACTAGGGAGAATCATTCCATGTAAAGACCTAAAAACAAGTTGAAGGGGGAAGGTAGGAGCTTTGTACCATCAATCTGTCCTTGTATCCCTGAGTTGCAGGAGACACAGGGCTTTGGCAGTCTTCTGGCTGCCTGGCCAAATGCACAGCTGACTAGTAACTCCACACCAGCCTGTGGTCTGTGTGCCTTTCCACCGGGGGCCTCATACCTAGTGGCCCAAGTAGTGGCTGGAGCAGGGCTCACCCAGGCTCCAAGTCAAGATCCCTAAGGCCTCGTGTTGGGTCATCAGAAAAGTCTCCAGAATTCATCATCCTCCCTCAACCGTCTTGGCAAAGCTGCTGCCCAAAGTGGTGGCACTTGGAGCTCTTTGGGTCTGAAGGAGCTATCGGGTTTCTGGCAGCTTAAACACGGGAGGAGGGGACTTGGGGGAACTCAAGTGAATAGTTCTACACTAGGGAACTATACCCACGTTAGGGCTGGGATTAACCCCGGAGCAATGGAAAAAGACAAATTCCAGCACAGCCCCTGCCAGTCCCGAGGCCAGAGGAGGCTGGTTGCACAGAATGGCTTGGTCTCCCTCCCGAGGGTTAGGGTGGTGGCGGCGGTATTCACCTGTGCACGGATCAGGGACTCGAAGCTGGGCTGGAAGTAGTCAAGGCGACTGCTGTAGAACCGTGGCATCTCATCGAGGAGTTGCATGTTTTTGGCCTCAAAGTCATCCCGCACCGGCCGCAGCTCTTCTCGGGCCTAGGGATGAAGACTATAGTGTCAGGGGCAGTGCTGGGGCACAGCATGGTGGGGGTGGGGAGTTCGGAGGTGTGGCCCCCCTCCCCAGGAAAGGGAGAAACTTGCCATGATGGCTCAATGGCCACCTTATCCCTTCTGTTGGCTCTCCCACCTGCTCCCCTGTCCCTTGGCACCTGGTGAAGCTTGGCGAGCACTGGCCCAGTCTTCTCCTTCTCCTCATACTTCTCCACTTTGGCTTGCAGCCTCCTGTAGTCCTGCAAGGCCTGTTCTCGCCGCTTCACCGCCATGTTGAGGCTTGGGAAGACACTGCCAAACCTGCCGGGCACAGCCTGGTTGGATAAAGGCCCATACTGGAGGGCAGTCTGGTGTCTTAAAATCCACTCAAGCGGTGTCTGCTCATCAGCCCCGTGAGGCTCTGGCGCTGGGCAGCTTGAACAGACAGTAGTATAACACTGGAGGAGAGGCAGACAGGGCAGAGGACCACGCCATTCATGCTATGGTGCCACTACACCAGACCACCAGTAGAGGGCACTCCTCTGAAGTTACCAGTTAGATATCTCATGTTAGAACTGGGAGAAAAGGTGGGTACTGCGGTCTTATCAATTCCTAGCAGAAGAGACTGAGATGTGAGGATTGTGCCGGCCTGGGCAGGTAAATCCCTATCCCCAAATAATTGTCAAAAGCCAGAACTAGAGCCATGGCTCAGGTGGAAAAGTGCCTGCTATGAACAAAAATGCCCAGAGAGAGCAAGAGGCCTTGAGTTCAAGCCCCAGTACTGGCATGAATTAAAAAATAAGATAAAAACAAAACCTGAAGTCAGGGAGATGACATGTGACTTGTGACATGTGACAATGGGATGGTCCATAAGAGAACTCAAGTGTCCGCGTCCTCTGGCACCCTTCCTGCCACTAGCAGCAGACAGAAACGACACGAGATGCCAGTCCTGCCTAAGGGTATCCTTGTGATGTACAAACTGAAGGCCAGAGTTTTCAGAGAACCTTCTCCCACCCTTCATGGACTACAAAGGAGGAGACATGGCAACACTTCAAGTAGAATTTCTAGAAGTGGTTGGAACACAGGGCTGCTGTCTTGGATAAGGCGCAGGGATGGTCTCCAAGCAGCTGGAGGGCCTGGACCTCCTCATGAGGTGTCCGCCATGCCATCTGTGAGCCCGGGCCATGCAATCAAGGGACCTGTCGGCGCTGATGCCTCAAGAAGACAGGTAGAGCAGGCAGGCTGGGACGGCTCGGTCAGCTCATCCGGGAAGAACCCAGAAGGGGCGAAAGGGCAGGCAGGAAGAAGTCAGGGTGGGGACTCTTCTCATTGAGATTCCAGTCCAGATGCCAGATGCCAAGTGGGTATCTGAATGTCTGGGGAGTGAGGGGTGTCGTCAGAAAGTTCAGACACCGCAGGAAGCTTGACCCCGCCCCCCAAATCTGCCTCTCCCAGCTCCATGAATTTGGTATTTCAAAGCCTCAACAGATCAAGAGGACATGGGACACAAGAGTAATGAGTACTTTTGCCAGGGAATAGAGAACACAAACCCAGTGAAGTGTTAAATGGCCCAAACAAAGCCACAGACCCAGGGAGATGACAGTGCAATGAAGGGTTTATGCTCAAAGCCATGGAAACCAATTCCTCTCCCAGGGCCCGTCCTGGGCCCACTAGCTAACTGAAGAGGTGAAGGAGGGCTGAGACGACCAGAATTTCTCTGAATGCTCAGCCACAAGCCTTTCCCTTTACTAATCAAACCAACATCTGACTAACCGCTCTGCCAGGCTGAAGATGCAGGCCTGCTCGATGCTGTGAAAACCAGACATGACCAGGACACACGGAGCCCACTGAGTGGGTGTGAAGGCATGCTGCTCTTGGGAACAGCCAACTCACTGCTGTGGCCCAAGGCAGCTGCATGATGGACTTCCAGCTGCTTCAGGAGCCCCTGTCCCTTCCTGGGCAGCTGAGGTGTGAGGCTCGGGAGCAGGTGCACTGGGGCTGAGAAGCGCCGTGCTCCCTCCCTCCACCCCACAGAGGTCCAGCAGCTGCTGGACCCTCTTGTTGCAAGCGACCTGCTGCTTGGGTGGCCCCAGGGCAGGACAGGGGACAGAGGCAGGTGGACGGCTGCTCTGCTTGTGGCCACGATCCCAACCCCTGCAGCTCACCTGTGGAAGACACCACTGGAAGCAAGCAGTGTGACAGATGCGTGCTAAGACGCGACAGGCTTAGCAAGGTGCAGGTGGTCAGGCGACCCGACACACGCTGGCCTCCAAAGCACTTGTACCTCAGCCACAACCCCAGTCCACTCTGTCATAACCAGGAGCACCAAGGGCCGCAGCCAGCCGTGGAGGACACAGGCATCATCACCGGGGAGAGGGCAGAGCCGAGGGCGGGGCAGTGTGCAACAGGGTTGACAGCTCTGGCACCGGGCCTGGTCTCCTCAGCCTCCCAGAAACCAGACCACTTGCCCTCTGCGGGGAGGCAGCGCGGTGGGAGCTGTCCCCGGGCTCTGCGAGTGGCATCTGGACCTCGGGGACACTAGGTGTTCCGCATGAGAACTCGTCTGCCACGGCAGCACCTCTCAGCCAAACAGAGATGAGAGAAGGCTGGTGTGGGTGAGCTGGGCGCCCTTCCTCGCTCCGCATGGCAGGGAGCAGACCCACGGACCCTTCAGCAGGCTGGCTCTGGGGGGAGGGGGAAAGCGTGGGGTGAAGAGGGAGTGGGGAGGGAAGGAGGCCGGCTGGGAGGTGGGCTGGGAGCAGCCGGCCTGGTGGGGAATGCCTGCCATTCCTCATCTGTGCCCACGCAGCCGGGAGCTTCCACCCACCAGGAAAGGGAAATTGAAAGCACCCCCATCCGACATGTGAACAAGCCCAGGGACTGGGATGAGAGGCCGGGCCCCTTGGGGACAGGCTGGGGGCGGCAGGGTGGCCACGATCCTCATCAGAGCACAGGAAAGCTGCAGTTTCCTGTTTCCGGCGCTGGGGTCCCTGGGAGCTTCATCTCCTGGCACAAGGAAGCTAGAGGGGAGGAGGCAACAGGCAGTGGTGGGCTCTGTGGTCAGGGAGATTGCACGCTGGCTGCGGGATGCAGGCACAAGTCAGCCCGGCGGCGGCCGCGCACGCCTGGGGTCAGCGGAGATGGTGGCCGCCCCCTCTGCCACGCCCCCACCTTCCTGGCAGGTGGTGGGCTGCGGGCACGGTGGGAAGCAGCCGGGGTTTCTCTGCACTTGGCTACAGAAGCCAGGATCCAATTTCAATGCCGCCTCGTTGGTTGTGAAATCAAGACTGAAGTCAACCCCCCTCCCCTCCCCCAGTTCCCTGAGCAGGAGCTTCTGCCTCTCTGCCAGCCCTGGTGACTGCGGCTGCCGCTGGGAACCCCTGTGGTCCGGGAACACCAGAATCCCCTGGGGACGGGGTCTCTTCTCCCTCCGTTCCTTCCACCTGGGGCTAAGCTTCTGTCTAGAGACCAGGCCCAAAAGCCACAGGTCCATGCTTCGCCAGGAGCGGAGGCGCGCTGGGCCCATGGCTGAGGAGGCTGGGGCGGTGGAGTAGGTGGGCGAGCCCTTCCTGCGGCAGGCTCGGCCTCCTAGAGGCCCACAAGTGCTGGCTAGGCTGGGCGGCCTCTTGCTAACCCCACTCTTTGGACCTGAGTAGGAAAAGAACAGGTCAACAACCCCCATACCAGGGGCTGGAGGATCAAAAACTCCTCTCCGGCTCCCTCCAGGCCCATCCAGGCCTGACCCGTAATGAAGCAGAGCCTCATTACCCAGCCCAGGCAGGCGACTGCCAGGGACCACCACAGAAGAGGTAATGAAGTCCAGCTGCTGGGCAGGGGCCCGAGCCTTTCTAGGTCAGAGAGGAGAGGCCAGGAGAGGAAGGATTGGGGAGCTTCAAGGCAAGGCTTCAGTCTGCCTCCTCCCCCGGGGCCCAGGCAACAGGCCTGTCTGATCCTTGACCAGGGCCTGCCGGACCAAAGATGAGGCTTACAGAGTTCCTGGGGAAGGCAGAGCGCCACTGCTGCGCCGCCCTCCCTGTGTGCGGCCACCCCGCCCTCCCAAAGCGCAGCGCGGCAGGCAGCTGCATCCTACCCCGACTGCAAGATGAAAGGCCTCGCGCCCGTCCGCTCAGGCGGGCCAAGGCCCCTGCTTGCTGAGTCCCGCCAGCCTGGCCCCAGGGGGCTCACCCAGAGCAAAGGGGAAAGGCCCCGGCGACCACCAGAGCAGTGGCCAGGGCCGGACAGTAGTCAGCGGCACTGCCCTGGAGCTACCAACAACCCTGACCCTGAGCCACGGATTCTGTGGCTGCCACTCCCGATTTCCTGTCTGACCCCAAGCTGGGGGCAGGCTGCTAGGTGCATGCTTTAGTCCCCATGTGGCCAGCTGATCTGCCTCTGCCCCGAGTGCCCTGTGTGCCCAGATGACCTTACTCACTTTTTCAAGGGCTCAATCACTGTCTTTTGTATCTGGTTCACCTATTGAAAGAAAAAAGCAAAACAAAACCCAATAGCATTAAAACTGGGGGAGACAGCCTCTTCCTAAAGGGTTCCTCTGAAGACAGAGAGACGGCAAGGACCCCAAGTTGGGGAGGAGGAGGACTGAGGCGGGACAGGAAGGGGGGTGTCCTAACTCTATGGTCTCTGGAGCAGGCCTGAGGGTTTCAGGTCAGGCTCGTCCTGCTGGCTACAGCTTGCGACGGCTTTGCCCAGTGTGGAGAGCTGGGCAGTGGCTCAGAGAGAGGTCTGACAGCCACGCAGAACTACCAGCCATTCCAGAAACTACCAGCCTGGGAGGAAGTAGACATGGGTTCAAAGCTCACAGGCCTCAGAGAAGCGCCAGGCTCATGGAGACCTGCAGGTGGTGCTGTGCCCAGAGGGGACTGGAGAGGGGGAGGAGCCGGTGCCACCCAGTCACCTTCTCCTGGTTGAAGGCGTCCATCCGCTTCATGGCTGTGTCGAGGGCTGTCACCATATTCAGAAAGTCTTGGTCTTGCTCACAGAGGGGATTGGACAGCAAGTCCAGGGATATCTTCACGGCAGACTTTGACATGGCTGTGAGAAGTCAAAATCACAGGTTGGTGAGTGAACAAAGGGACAAGCACAAGAACTCGGTGGGCCCTGTCCTCACCTGGCCATGGCCTCAGAGCAAGGGAGTTCGAGAACGACCCAGCATCCGTGACTAACACGGCACCGTGAGTTCACCTGGGCAGCTTCACGAGTTGCCATGACCCAAGTTTCTAACTTCTCGGCTTGACTTGGATCATCTGGCTAGGAGACTATGAAACACTTCTGCCTCCGAAGATTCTGATTCCATAAATCTGGGACCCACGAGTCTGCACTGGGCATTGTAGCCACGAGGCTTGTATGGAACTCTGGTTTCTACCAGGGGTGGCTTATTTTATGTAAAGCGGCAGAAGGCGGCAAATATTTCAGGCCTTGTGGGCCACATGGGAGCCTCCAGCACGCCGAGGAACAAGCAGCCCCAGACCCCGCCAGGCCTCCCTGCCAGGCCTCCCCGAGGAAGGGCTGACTCTCCATGGTGGGGGAAGATGAACCCAAGTCCTCACTGCCAACCAAGGCTTTGAGGGGCCTCCTGGCCTGCTCTGAGCCTCATCATGGACTCTTCTAGAAGCAGCAAAAAGGGCAGGCTGTGGGAGAAGACAGGAGATGCAAACTCCCCAGAAATGTTGAAGCAATGAAGGAAGGAGTGCTTTTTAAAATCTGTGAAGTGACTTTGTAGGCTTAGGAACAAACATTATGCATAACTTGATTTGATTATGAAATAATCGCATACAGCATAGTCAAAAGATAATGAACCTAGACAAAGCTGGGAACATTTGTGAAAAATGTCTTCTACAAAATTGTTCTTTTTTTTCTCTCCGTTTTTTTTCTATTTGAGGAAAAATAATTCCCAACGACTACAGGATGGGGAGAGCTTCCTCCCTACTTCTTTCTCTCCCGATGTTCTCCTCCCATCCTCAGGTCTTTGTATTGGTTGGAACCGATGAATCAATGAACTGCGTCTGCGCAGGCCACTGCCCCAGCAGAACAGGGCCTGGAGTCCACCCAGAGCATAGTCTGGTGTTTATGCCTGGTTCTCTGTCCCAAGTCACACTTCCTGCCCACACAGGGATTGGTAGGAGCCTATGGCCATCCTGGCACCAACCCAAGACTAGTGGTCTTTGAATTTTATAGAAGGTGAGGGTCTTGGGTCTCTGATGCAGCCTCTAGAAAGTAAGAGACAAAGGGCTCTCAGAAATGGATAGAATTGCTCTGAAAGAACGATCATCTTTAGAACACTGGCTGAGGATTTCAGATCCTCTCTGGAGCCGAGGGACTCCGGCGTAAGGACAGCATGGTGATTCCCCTCACGGGAAGTGGCCGACAGTGTGTCCCCAGCCCTACGGCACCAGTGTCTCCTGGAGTGCATTAGATGTACGTTCCCAGGCCCGGCCCAGGACCTGTTTAATCGGAGACTTGGGATCAAGCCGGTGTCCCTTCCTCCCATCCCTGCACGCGTGCGGGCTACGTGCTCGGGGAGGAAGCCACCCTCAGAAGAGCCTTTCCTCCCCATGCTGCTCTACCATGTCCCAGGAGTCACCGGTTTCTCTGCTAGAAAACCACACTTTCCAGAGCCATGGCCTCCTTGTGGAACCTGACAGGTACTTGGTCCCGAGTGACTTGCTATGGAAACAGCAGCCTGTGCTCTGTTCCTGCTCTGATACTGTGGCTGAGGAGGCTGGAGAGGGGAGGAGGAAGGGCAGGCTGCAGCAACTCCCTTTACTGCAAGGCAAAGACAGACAGAAACACATAACAGAGCTAGGTCTGACCACTGGCTCAGGACAGGACTACTCTGGAAAAATGAGGGGCCAGGTTCCGAATGGCCTATGTCCTCAGGATTGGCGATGCACAAGATTCTGGGACACGGACTAAGGGAGCTGGCCCGCCCAGCATGATGGGCAGTTCTGTCTAGGCTGTGGCAGTGGCCGCTGAAGCTGGGGAAGGCATGTTTCCTTCTGATAAGCAGAAAAAAAATGTGTAAACATTCTTTTTACTCATTACATGAGTAACTGGCTGAATCCTAACATCCAGGAAAAAAATGGGAAATGCAAGTTGCTGCCTCTGTGAGGGAATTAATGGTGAACATGCTACATGGGAGCAGGGAGGCCTCTAATCCTAGCCTGAGCTGCCCAGAGCCTGTGACCTGCTGAGCAAAGTGTGGAGACTGAGGGGCTATCCCCATTTGGACTCTGCCGGTACTGAGGCGGGCCAGGACCTCAGTGATGGAGGACTTTCTTAGCTGCCTTTTGGCTCAGACAGCAGACAAGACATGGCAGCTTTTCTGCTGGGAGAGTGACTGAACGAAATAGTTTCTTTCTTCTTCTTCTTTTTTTTTTCATGAGATGAGTATTTCACATGCCCTGCCAAGAGATACAGCGGGTGAAATTTCCTTGATGACTGTGCAAGTGGCTGGCTGCCAGTGGCACATGCCTGTACTATGAGTTATTCAGGAGGCTGAGATCTGAAGATCCAAGTTTGAAGCCAGCCTAGGCAGGAAAGTCAGAGAGACTCTGACTACAAAAAAAAAAAAAAAAATTAAAAATTAAACAGGCAGAAGTAAGGCAGTGGCTCAAGTTTTATTAGAGTGTTAGCTTTGAGTACAAAAGTTCAGGGACAGGGGCTGGGAAGGTGGCTCAGTGGTAAAGCGCTTGCCTTGCATGCCTGAGGCCCTGGGTTCGATTCCCCAGCACCACATAAGCAAAAAAGAAAAAAGAAAAAAAGCCAGAAGTGGCACTGTGACTCAAGTGGTAGAGCGCTAGCCTTGAGTTGAAGAGCTGAGGGACAATGCCCAGGCCCAGAGTTCAGGCCCCACGACTGGACCCAAAAAAAAAAAAAAAAAAAGTTCAGGGACAATGCTAAGGCCCCAAGTTCAAGCCCCAGGACTGGCACACATGCACATGGGCATACAGGCAGACACAGACACAGACATAGACACAGACACACACACACACACACACACACACACACACACACACACACACACACACACACACACACACACACACAGAGTGTTCAGGTGCTCTATGGCACAGCTGGATGGATCCTCAGTCCTACCACTGCTTCTCTGTGCACACAGTGCACACAGCCCTGAGCCAAGACTACTTCTATCTCGGGGCCTTTGTACTTGTGGCCTCTATTTGAGCACTGTTTCCCCGTGTGCATCTGCATGGAGTACATCCTCATCCCTTCAGACCTGTGAACAAGGCACCCTTATAGGAAGCCTCCCTGATCACCCCAACCTAAAACAGCACCCTGTTGCTCCCCACCCTTCTATGATTTCTGTAAACTTGATCTTGCTATTATAGCCCAGGGTGGCCTTGAACCTGTGATTCTCCTGCCTCAGCCTCCCAAAGTGCTGGGATCCCAGGTGGGCACTCCCATGCCTGGCTCCACAGCACTTGCCACTGCACATTGACTCCTTGCTCATCTTCGCTCCTGGAATGAGGACTTGGGTCTTAGCTCACTGTTGAATCCTCGGAACCAAGACACATGCAGGGCACAAACTGGGTCTCAATTGGCATTTGTCAAGTGGGAGAAAGTGGGTGGCTCTGGTTACACCCTGTTTCCAGAGTGCACCATGGATATATGCCTCCCCCTGGCACAAGGAGGGGCTGTCAGGATCCACTCTGCAGGCCAGTGCTGATGACAACAGGAATAGGAGAGCTGACCTGAGTGGGCCTTGGCCACTACAGCCAGCCAGGCCCAGGACCAGGGGCACACAGGGACTTTCCAGACAAGGCACAGTGAATTCAGGTTCTTAGGCTGCTGGGCAGGTGTGGACTCCAGCTGCCGCCGCCGGGGAACACCCTGGTGTTGTCTGACCCCAGAACTGCTTTTGTGGCACTGGGTTTAGTTCCTCCTTGTTTCAACCAAGAGCTCTCCCCAGACCCCGGATGTGTCTTGGTGCCTGCTGCCCCTCACCACAGACCCTCTAGTGCCCTTTGTCATGACAGAATGACTTGGAGGTATGTCTGGCCCTACATCTCAGACTGAGCTCTTGCTCAAACGCACCAACACCAGCTCCTGTCACAAGAAAGTAGGGGACCTGGCACTTCTGTGGAGGGGATGTGCTGCAACTGGAAGTTTCTATGCTAATGAAAGTCCCAGGGGCTTCTGGGCTCACACCCACTGCAGAGCGTGGGGGCGGGGCTTTGTGAGATGTGCTCATTTGACCAGGGAACGACCCAGGCCACTTCTCAAGAGATAAATCGTTGGCATTTTGTAGGCACGGTGAATTGTGTGTGTATGTGTTTGCTGATACTGGGGCTTGAACTCAGGACCTGAGTGCTGTCCTTTAGCTTTTTTGGTTAAGGCTGGAGCTCTATCACTTAAGCTGTACCTCTACTTTTGGCTTTTTGGTGACTAATTGAGGAGATGAGTCTGGCTTTGAATAATGATCCTCAGATCTCAGCTTCCTGAGCAGCTAGGACCAGCTGGCATGGTGAATTCTGAGTTAGTCTTTGGGAGCAATGCAGGTGCAGGGCAGGGCCACCTACCCAGGTCTGCATCGGTGCTCTTCTTCATATCCTTCTGAAGCCGCCTGGTCTGCTCTTCCAGCCTGCAAGGAAGGGGCAGGTGTGGGCACCTGGCCTTGCTCTGCTCAGCCCGCTCCCCTACATCTGAGCTAGACCCAGTCTGTGTGCCACGGGGAGGGAGGCCCTGTCCACAGGACCATAGGCCACATAGGCTCTACAGGAGGCCCAGGAGAGTAGCAGCAGCCTGGAGTCCTGGGCTGCCCTGGGTCCTGACTGGGCTGGGGGGAGATGAGGAAGAGTGGAAGTGCTGGCAGGAAGCAGGGGCCCTTCCCACCTCCTGCCTTGTCCTTTAGGGGTTTGCCACTTACTGTTGGAGTTTTCCATACTCCCTTTCAAAGTCTCTCTCCACCTGTAACGAGAGAGACAACTCAATCAACGGAGCAATGACAACAGGGTGGAAAAAAACCTCCCAGTCTCCAGAAACTCCCTTCACACCCTCCCCCTGGCCTGCAGAGAACAACACTGTCCAGTTCACACACGCTCCGCAGGTCATTAACGACACAGTCTCCCTGTGTTCCCAAGTTAATGAACTGTTTGATTTCGGGAGAAGGCCTCTCCTCCCAGAGGGGCCAAGCAGGCAAGTCATAGCAGATCGTGGCTCTGCTCTGCGGCTGCAGGAGTGAGGTGCTGGGCTGCGTGCCCTCTCTTCACCTTCGCTCTTGTGGCAGTCAAGGTGATCGGAATGCGGCTAAGTGGTAGTGGGGTGCAGAGACAGAGGCAGTTCTGGAGTTTAGGACTGCCTAGATCTGCCATTTCCAGCTGTGAGACCTGAGCAAGGCCCTGCCCACTAGCCACAGTCCCTGCCTGCCTGCTGGGGGGGGGGGGGGGAAGGGGGGGAGGTGAGGGGAGTGGGTGGGGGAGTCAGGGAAGATAAAGAAAGATCACACATTCAACTATGGGGGAGGTAGGGAGGGGGAGATGTATGTTGGAGTGAAGGTCTAGTACTTTCTCTCACAGGCCGAGCAGGAAGTGATTTGGAGGAAGAAGTAGGGATAGGTAAGACCTGAACTCTGGTACTCAGTGTGGAGGATTTTCAAGTATTAATATGTGTGTGTGTGTGTGTGTGTGTGTGTGTGTGTGTGTGTGTGTGTGTGCGTGCACGTGTATGTGCGCGCGCGCGCGCATACGCATTTGCTTGTTCTAGGACTTGAACTCAGGGCCTGGGTGCTGTCCCTTATCTTTTCTGTTCAAGGTTGGTTCTCTACCACTTGAGCCTCACTTCCAGCTGATTAACTGGAGGTAAGAGTCTCACAGACTTTCCTGCTAGGGCTGCCTTTGAGCCGTAATCCTCAGATCTCAGCCTCCTGAATAGCTAGGATTACAGGTGTGTACCACTGGAGCCTAGCTTCCTAACATTTTTGACTCCTACTTCCTCTTCTGTTAAAGTGGGGTACTTCACTTAGTCATTCCCTGTGGCAACTTTAGCCGACAAGGGCATAAGAACAGAACAGCCTCAGTGGCTTGCTTGCTCAGAGGCACTCATATAGACCAGGGTGCGAGCACCCATCCCCCTCTCCTGCGGTAGCTCACAGCTGCCTGCGATGCAGATGGGACTGATGACCCTTTAGCAGAGAGAGGACTTGGGAAATACCCGTCAGGAAAGCCCCGGCTGTGCTGGGTAGTGCTCTGTCTGGGCACTGGGACCCTGCTGCGGCGCCCTCTTGCTCAGAGGCTGTAGAGCAGTGATGTCTTAAGACAGTGAAGGACAAAATGAGAAGTACACATTTCCTGGCTGGAGGCAGGCTCCCCAGGATCCAGAGCACACAGTAGGAGCTTGCTGGCATGGGGGCAAGGTACCTGCCGAGCCTCTGGCGCTGTCTTTGGCTCCTACTCCTCTCTGGCAATGCCAGGGCATGCTGCTGTGTGTGGGATGTCACAGAACACCTGGCCTTTGGCTGGGGACTGCTTGGGCTTGCACAGGAAGGAGCTTCACATTTCCAACCAGGCAGGAGTATTCTGGGTAATGAGAGACTCCGTAGTGTCTCACTGGAAACAGGCATGCATTCTGTTTGGTGCCACTCTAGGTGCCTGACAGCTCGAGAGGTGCCTGTGAGCATTCAGCCACCCTGGCATCCAGGAGCCAGGTGTAGGTTGCCTCTATAGCTCACTGGTCCTAGATCTTTCTAGAGGGGAGAATCCCCCAGGGACAGCACCAGAACACAGCCCCTTGCAGAGTGGCTAAATGAATAAAGGGCCACACTGGTGTCACATTCTGAGGTAGATGACTTCGGAGGGAAAGAGCCAAGTGCAAAAGATCTGAGCATCTTGGAACGCTTGATGCCTCTGCCAAGAAGGCAATTGGAGCGCAGTCAACAATGCAAGTGTTAGCACATGTGCACAGATCACAGGAGGCCAGGCCGGGCCGGGCCAGATTGGTGAGGTTAGTGCAGGGGGAATTGAGCCCCTGACTCTCTCCCTCAGATGCTCCCTGCATGCTCTGGGGCTCCAAGTATAAGGGAGGAATATGCTTCTTGCTGCTTGATCTGCAGTTCCCAGACCAGCCCCGGCACAGAGCAGGAGCTTGGCATTTGCTAAGTAAACGAGCAGGCTGTGTCTTCTCCAATCCCATATTCATGATGAAGTGAGAAAGGAGGTTACAGACTAGGCTGGGAGAGACCAGAGCTCCAGGGCAGCCACAGGCATGGCAGACCAGAGCTAAGTTGGGGGAACACTCCAAGAGTTGTTCTTCCAGGGGCTCTGGTGAACCCCACCTCTGTGTGAGCATATGCCAAGACCTACTAAGCACCTCGTCTTTCTCAACTGGTGAGGCTCAGGGTGCCTACTCTTTCTTGCTCTGACTACACGAGGTGCCGACCGAACTAGCAATCTTCGTGGGTGCTTTCCTTTGTGTCCAAGCACAAGACCTTGCTTGGAGGGCCATGGAAAGGCGAGGCTTCAAAGAGTGCCTCCATCCTTCTGGCTTCAGCAGGGAGGTGTGGCTCTTTTCTCCCCATCAAGATGCTTGGGCCACTTTATGGGACCTGGGGACCAAGGGGGACTAAGCGGAAGGTTTGGGTCGGGAGGTGTGGGAGCTTGTCTTCTGTTGTCTCAGTGCCAACGGTCAGCCTGCAGGGAACATGCCATTCCAGCCACAGCCCCAACCATTGTGGAATGTATGTTTGTAACCTGGGCACAGGCGAGCAGCAAGAGTAAAGACAATGCTTTCTTTGTGGCTGGCAGCTGGTGTCTTAAGCCAAAATCCTCCTGAAACGCCCTGAAGATAACATGAGCATTTCTTCCCATGACAGGGGCACCATGACTTCCAATAACCCATGAGGCCACATCTGCTCCCCTCCCTGGCGGTGCCTGGGCAGGAGTACCAGAGTGTGCAACCACGTCTGGGGCCGCTGCCAGAGCTGCAGAGACAACCACCTAGCTAGGCCTTCTCTGGGCTGCTGGTGGTGGGCAGGACTGACTCTTAACGAGGCAGGGTCTTTCTGTCTATACTTCAGCACCCTGGGGAGCTGAGAACAGCTGGGGCAAGCAAAATCCTCCTTTAAAGTTGAACCTTGGCTCTGATTCCTGGGGAGAGATCAAAGGCCCAGTTTACAATTTTAGTGCACTGGGGAACCGAGCTATTGGGCGAGGCCGGGTCCTCAATGGCTTTGGAGGGCGTCAAGTCAGCCGCTCTGCTAACGTAGCAGCCGCCAGCAAGGCTTCTTACGGATTCCACACTGTGTTAAATGTCTTATATGCATGGTCTTATGAGGCTCTTCCTGCATCTGAGACATGGTGTTACGGTTACCTTCATCTTACGCATAAGAAAGCTAAGGAGTGCAGGGGTGCTGGCGGCTGAGGTCTATAATCCTAGCCTCTCAGAAGGCTGAGAATTGAGGATCCAGGTTCAAAATTAGCCTGGGCAGGAAGGTTGGTGACACTCTTATGTCCAATTAACCATCAAAAAGCCAGAAGTGGAGCTATGGTTCAAGATGTAGAGTGCCCAGGCCCTGAGTTCAAGCTGCCTGCACACCTCCTCCCCACCCCCCAAGAAAAGGAAAGTGAAGGAGGAGTTAAGGCACACACCCAAGGTCGTGAACAGTGTGTGGCAGGGCCAGGATGGGAATTCAGGCAAACTGCCAAAACCTTGCACTTTAACCATTTCCTGATATCTGGTTTCCATGGGGGGTGGTGTGTGTGTGGGCGGGGAGGGGGGGTTGGATCATGGACTAGAGGACAGCAGACACACATGTACAAGACAAGGGATGTAACACGTGCATCTCATCTGCTCTTCCCCAGAAGTCTTTGCTACTTCTCAGAATAAAAGACTCAAGATCTTCCCGCCAATGAACACTGGCACAAGTTGAAACTGCAGTCCAGCCTATATTTCTCTGTTGGAGAACAAAGGCCACTTGATGAAGGTTGGGATGGTAGGAGGGATTTGTGTTTGTCTTTGTTTTTAGGGAAAGAGGGGAATAAAAGACCCTTCTCAAAACCACTTCCCTTTTGGATCTGCCACGGATAAAACTCTGGAGGCTCAAAGCCACACCTTCCTGCTTCCTGGAGCCGCTGAGCTCCGCATTTGCACACCCAGATTCTCTGGGCTTAAGCTAAGAGTCTCCACAGATGGTTAGCCCCTGAGTGGGGGACGCTGCTGACTTGCCTTTATGAAGCAGGGGAGGATTCTTTTAACTCAGGCCCACTTCCTTTCAAGTGACCACATTTTGGATTACCCTCTAAAATGGAGGCATTGGTCAGATGTGTGCTGAACTTCCTGCCAAATAGAAACAATGTCTTTCCTGTAGTTTTAAGAGCTGAGCCAAGGATGGGGGAGAGGGGAGAGAAGTTAGAAAGGCAAAGGACTGAGGCAACGGGTTGTCATAGTGGAGATGGTGCTGGACTTTTCAGAGCCTTTATGGAAAGGAGCTCTAGAGTGTGGTCACCTACATTAAAACCCAGGGCTACACTCAGATTTGTGGGCGAGGAGCCGAGGAGGCTATTTTGTTGGGAGAATCTCTTGAAGATCTTTACCGCCAACACAAAACACAGAATGAGGAACAGATCAGATTCTCAGACCCAAGTTCTAATTGCAGCTGTGCCAATTGGATTTCAGATCTTAGAAAGTCACTGCCAGTTTGGGGGGCTTAAGTGTCAGGTAACAAAACAGGTGGTCCCAGAGTTTTAGCTCTAGCTTTCTAGAAATCTGCAACTCTTTTTTCCTCTCATCCTGGAGACACCTTTAGGTTGGCAGCTATTACTACCCTGCTGAGTGATTCTGGACCACAGGAGAAAAACGCATTTGACAGAGTAGACAAAGGGCTCTGGGTCATCTGGAGAGGCTGCTTGATATTTTATGCAGCTAAGGTAGCCAGAAATAAAGTCCTGGGCTGTGCCTTTGGAGGGGCATCTGCGTTTCAGGACCCCTCTTTAAAAGAGGACTACGCAGACACAGGCGAATGACTCAGGACAGGTCACTGTGAGCCCCAGGCTCTACAGTGAGCCAGGTTGATGTTTTCCTAGTCCCAAGATGTGTTGAGTCAAATCTCTGGTGCTGTGTGGAGGCCACGAGAGATGGAACTGAGCAAAAATATTGGGTTATACTCACTGTTTTGGGAACAATCTGTTTCTTGGGCTGCCCAATCTTGAAAGGAATCCTGGAAGAGGGAGAGACAAAGAAGACTACTGTGAGAAAATGGGAAGCATGGGCTAGAGGAATGGATGCAGGATGGCTCTTCTGCCCGAGGAAAGTGAGACGCCAGGGAATTGCTACTTGGTATTAGGACTCCCATTTCCTCGTATGTGCATGAGCTTAGTTTGTGGACACAGTGCCCCGCAGACAACGTCCCACCAAGGCTCTGGGTACCACCTCTGGCCCAGAGCATCTTTTCTACTGACAGTCTGCCATGTAAATACATGGAAGAAAACTGGGCAATGGTGACTCATGCCTGGAAGTCTAGCTATTCAGAAGGCTGAGATCTGAGGATCAAGGTTCAAAGCCAGCCCAGATAGGAAGTCGCCAGACGTGGAGCTATGGCTTAAGTGGTAAGAGTGCTAGCCTTGAACAAAAGAGCTCAAGGACAACATCCAGACCCTGAATTCATGCCCCAAGATGGACTAGCACACACGTGCATATGTGCACAAATACACACACACACACACACATACACACACACACACACACACAGAGCAAGGGCAGAAAAGAGAAAATAGCTGCAAAGTGAGAAATTAAAGGCTCATATAATAGCTATCATTCTTGGAAACATGCCTTTAAAAAACCCTGCAAATATCACTCAACTTCTGTATGAAGTACTTCTCAGTTTCTCTACAGAGGGACAATCGGTGGATCCTATGGGAATGCTGGGGCGAGATGATAGATTAGGGGCATTAGAGACAGTGGCTTTCTGGAAGAATCTGCAATCCAACCTGGATCTTCCTTGAACTTGTTAAGGAGTTCTGCACCTCAGATTGCCCACTGGTACCTGGACCAGGCTTGAGCAGAAGAAGGATAAAGTCTTGTGGGTGGAGCACCAGGCCAGCCCCAGTTCCTGAGCAGACTGTCCTTGGCAGGAAACTGCTGCACGGAGACTTACTTAAAAATGAGTGGATGACACTAGATAACACAGCAGCTTCCCCAGGCACCGAAAACTTTATGATTCTACAATCCTGAGAGGCACAGCACTCTGCCTAGGCGAGGAGGCCAGCCTGGTGTGTCTCAGCAGCAACAGGAACTATGGGCTGCACCTCCATGCTGCCCCCAGGTAGGACGCGAGGGACCCTGGGGTCAGTTTAGTAAAATGTCCGGAAGCCAGCCTCTCCATCAAAACCTCCTGTTGTCAACACTGCCTGGCCCAACCCCTTCTCCCCTAAACCCAGAGCCTGCTTCCCTTTGGCCCAAACTGACCAAACTGTTGCTAAACCCAACAGTATAATTAACCACCGATAATAACCCCAGACGGTGATCTGGTTGAGGGGATGGGCCAGCTTGAGTCACGGTGGTTTAAATTTAATTTCTGGAGGACATCCTGTTTATTGTTAACCCAGCCCCATAATTTGGGAGTGTTAACCCTTTGCGGACTGGCTGATTCACGTGGCTTGTGTCAACAGAGCATCTTGAACTATGTAATTACCAGAGAGAAAGGTAAGCTAGGGAGCGGGAAAGGCAGGGGAAAATGAACTTGCAATTTCCCGTCCTCGGACTTAAAGAGAAAAGTCAGAGAGACCAAAGCTCCCTACAATCAAGGATTGGAGGTGACAGCTGGTAAATGACTGCCCTCAAGACTACTTTGACCAATGTAAACGAGGTCCTGGCAGGGTTGTGGATGGGCTGTGGGAAGCCCACTACAACAGAAAACCTCTGACCAGGGAGAAGAGCCAGCCTCTGCCCCCCGGTCTTGTCACTTGTGCACATCAGGGGCCTTGTTTCTTCAGCAATGAAACAAAAAGGTGTTGGAGTATTTGTGCTTTTCTGCTTGTCCACATGGAAGCTCCATCTCAAGACTACAGGGAGCAGGCTCAAAGCCCAGAGAATCCTGAGTGGCCGGAGTCTAGTACTGCAGATCAAGAACCAAGAGAGCTGGGACTTAAGTTTCCATTATCTGTAACCCACAGTCTCTCTATCTTAATTTAGAATCACAGTATTTTTAGAACTGCAGGTCACCATAGAAATTTTTTCCTTTTCCATTTCAACCCTCTCATTCTGTAGACAGGGAAGCAGATGCCCAGAGGTTTGGTGATTAGCCCAGGGTCCCCATGCTGGCTCATGAGAGAAGCAGAAATAAGTCAGTAGGACCTGTCTTCTGGACTCGGTCTGCTCTCTGCCATTCAAAGTTCCACATTCTTTTCACATGAACTTTGTTCTATAGATTTGATCAAAATGCCTAGTGTTACTACATTGGGGGATCAGAAGGGCTCATAGTTTTGAAGAGCCTGGGAACGAAAGAGGAGGTGTCTAGGTTTTGGCACAGACAGATTCTATGCACTGTGAAGATGGAGTGGGTCATTCTTTCTGTATTTCCACTGAAGATACTGAATATCAGATGGACCATGATCAAACTATTCTTAGCAATCTTCAACCCGCCAGCTCAAAAGCCTTCTCTCTTACCTGCTAGAAGTCCCTTTTAAAGGAAAAATGACTTTATTTTGGAGGTTTTATTTATTTTAATTATTTATTTATTTTTTTTGTCAGCCGTGGGGCTTGAACTCTGGTCCTGGGCACTGTCCCTCAGGTCTTCAGCTCAAGGCGAGCACTCTACCACTTGAGCTACAGTGCCACTTCCGGTTTTCTGGTGGTTTATTGGAGATAGGAGTCTCACGGTCTCTCCTGCCCGGGCTGGCTTTGAACCACGATCCTCAGATCTCAGCCTCCTGAGTAGCTAGGATTACAGGCGTGAGCCACCAGCGCCAGGCTATTTTGGAGGTTTTAAGCTTTACAGAAAAATTGTAAAACAAAGTGTCCTAATCCCATCTCCCCTACTGATCCCTTTTTATTAATGTTACACTAATATGTACATTAGTCATGATTAATGAACCAGTATCAACATATTAAAGTCTATGCTCCAGTCAGATCTCCTTAGCTTTCCCCTAATGCCATTTTCCAGTGCTTGGATACTACTCAGGTCACCACATTACATTTTGTCTGTAAGTCCTTTCAGGCTGTGGTCATTGGTTACTTTTCCTGTTTTTGATGAAATAGACAATGTTAAGGAGCACAGGTCTTACATTGTACAGAATGTCTCCCAAATGGGATTTGTGTGAGCTGAGGTTACTGCTTTAAAGGAGGAGGATCGCAGAGCACCTGCTTCATGAAGGGCAAACGCGAGGGACATGGCTCAGCCATGCATGTGGCCCTTGCCACTGGCTGAGGCAGTGCCTGCTTGTTTCTCTAGTACGTAGCTGTCCCTAACACCCTTCTACCTGTCCATGACATGTTATAGAAGAAAGCCACCATGGAGCCAGGTTCCATTTATTTATTTATGTTAGTCAGTTATTTATATCAATACGGACTCATGAATACTTTTATTTTATACTTTGAGTTATAAACCAATCCCACTTCATTTTAGAACTCAAACTGATTCAGTTTTAGCCATTAGCAGCTAGTTCACTTGGCCTGTGTGTGCTTTAAGATGACCCTGGCTCAGGAGGGCACCAGTGGCTCACACCTGTAATCCTAGCTATGCAGGAGGCTGAAATCTGTGGGTCATGGTTCGAAGCCAGCCTGGGCAGAAAGTCTGTGAGACTCTTATCTCCACTAACTACCATAAAAACCAGAAGTGGTTCAAATGGCAGAGTACCAGCCTTGAGCAAAAAAGCCAGGGTTTGAGTTCAGGCCACAGTACTGGCACCAAAAAAAAAAAAAAAAAAAGATGGGTCTTGGCTCATCTTGCATGTTTCCTGCCCTAGCCAGAGTTGGTGAGGAACTGCACCAGCCTTCAACATGGTCAGTGGTCTCAGCCTTCCTCCTGGTCTCCTTCCTCACTCACCCAGCACATCTACCCTGATTTGGCATGTGGCTGCCTGCCAATCCCCAAATCTACACTCTTCTCTGGTCTGAAACTGGGGCGTTTTGAAGCACATCATCAGGACAGCAGGACTGTACAGGGAACGTGGACATGTGGCCACCTCAGCCAAATAGAAGGCCCTCCCTCCTGGCTTACCCCAGTTCTTCTCAAGACTGAAGTGAGAATCAGTTCTTCTCACGTAAGAGCTAAGAGGGAGATATGGGGCAGGTGAGGGAGGGAGAAGAAAAAACCCAAACCCAGCCATAACCTCCCATCTAAAAGAAGACCAAGGTTAATGTTTGGTAGTGTTTATTTTATTTTTCAATTTGCAAGAAGAAAAACAAAGGAGAAAAACAGGCAAAAGTCAGTAGTGGTTATTTCTGAGTAGTAAAAATAGAATTACTATTTTTTTCATATTTTCTTCTTTGTACTTTCCATGTTTTCTCAAACAAACAAACAAAAAAACCATTTTTTTCCCTTGACCATAAAAATAGCCCTTGATCAGTGTTGAAAACTTGGAAGAAATAGAAAAGCTGAAATGATGAAACACACAAGTATGTACATACCCTAACAAAACAAAAAAAGCAGTGAAACACTGAATCTCAGTGTGTATATTACTATTATTACCACCACCACCACCACCACTACTACTACTGTATTGGGTATTGAATCCAGGGCCTTGAGCATGCTAGCCACATGCTAGCATTCTACCACTGAGCTACATCCTCAGTCCTTCTAAAAATATTATTTGTCATTTATATTTACCATTTTATACCTCAGAATAAAAACATTTCCTATAAAGATGTCATTTATTTTTCCTGTTTGTGGTATTAATTGAACCCAGTGCCTCATAGTTGCTAGGCAAGCTTTATCTTTTGTGTTATGCCTCCAACCATCTTTTCATTTTCTTTATGCAAGTTTATAGATCATGTTTGTTCTGATGTACATTTTATTAACATGTACATTTTATTAACATGCTGGATCCTCGGAGTATTTCCAATTTGGCAATTTACAATCTTTAGTTCTGGGAATAAAAAAATGGCTGTGATTTGATTTCTTCTGTATGTTCTGTTTAATTGTGATGGTGTCAGAATTTTGATGTTGACCCTCCTGGCTGATCTTCTCATTGCTGGTTTTCAACATTTTCTTATGTAATA